CCCCCCCCCAAGATTTTCAGTCGACCTGTCGTCAGATGGACGCTTTTTCTTCCCGATAAATCGAGTTCTGATTCGGTTCCTCCCGGTCTATTTCGATTCTCTCTCGGTCTGATGAGAACTATTGAATGGCTTGACGGCGTTGAAAATTCATCGAGAAATGCCGCTTACTGTTGAAGAGAATGTGGACTACATGGCGGCTAATCCGAGAAAGCTCGAAATGGTGTTGTGAAGTAGTTTCGGGGAAGTAAATTAATACTCGAATAGTTCGATGGTTGTGCTATTTGTGATGGATTAAAATCTGAAGTTCCTGCATTCCCCTCACTTATGGTCATGATTGTAAGTACGGGGTTTCGTGCTTTATCTCGAGAATCACCATCTCCGGACAAAATCGAGAAATTGTTCTTTTTCATGCGACTCAAGAAATCGGCTGCCCCCCCCCCAAAAAAAAATCGTATGGACGCGCCTGGTACCCCGGGACTGTATCTTCGTCCAACCCATCACTCGCTCAACATGTCTGGCTCTGCTCCACCGCTTCGAGAAGAACGCAGATACACTCAAGTGGGGATTGCGCGGAGCTCAAGGATATTCGCGAAGCGCGCATTACGATCTGGCTCCGGAATTTAGATTCTTCCACTGGGAATGAGTCACTGCTGCGATGAGCACTCTGTGCCGAGGGTCCTGATTATCAGTCTAGCGTCTAATGGGAATGAAGCCCGAAGGATTCGACGCTTACTCGGCTTGGTTCGCCTAAGTGTCGTATCCGGGGAGTCGAGTTCAGAAATGACCCGCAATAGAGTTCGACTCACTTCAAGTTACCACCCCTAAAAGATTCCGGAAGGGTTTGAGGGGACTTCGGGAGCTGATGGAACTCTTCAGAACAGGATCATGAAGTATCGACAGATTCCGAGTCCAGATCAAGACGTTCCGAGGAACGAGCCAAGAATCCACGTCCCGATCAGCGATTAGCTGCGCGGGTTCTAGCTAGCAGCCACTTAGTGGTCGGGCTCGGATTAGCACTGGAATCACTTGACTGACCAGGCCGTTCTGAGTTTCGAGAGCGCTTGACGCATTGACGAATTCAGACCGGTTCCGACTCTCACGGTCTATGGCTTTTGAAAATCCTTAGGAAGTGGACACATTTATTTTTCAGTAATGTATTTTATTCCAACGCCCCGCGGCCTAGCTAACCTATGTTTATCACCCCTGGCTTCTACCCGGAGCCGCGTCACAATCGCTCAATGCATGCGTCGAGACAACCCAATACCACCACGCTCTCAGGACTCTCCAGGGCTAGGTACTATCACATGCGTTTGGAGACTTCATGAAATCAGGTCAGTTTCCAGTCACGTGTATATGTATTCACAACTATGAGTGTATAACTTTGTTGGCTACCGCCAACCACGAGATCGCTTCTAAGAGATCGTCAATGAACGAGGAGATAAGGTTGGACCGCGCGAGAATTTCGCGAAACGCGGTCAATTTGAAAGAGCAAGAATGCAATCACGCTCTCTCTGAGGCTTGATTCCACCGATCGACTTCAGCGTTTCATCATCTTTTTCACTATGTCTATGGCCCTGCTGAAATTTTCCATGGATACCTCCGTGTCGATCAGCTCGTTCTCGAGATAGTTGACCAGCATTCTCTCGCGGATGGGCTGCAAGGCAGCCTCCGAACACAACGCGGAAATATCGGAGCCTACGAAACCGTGGGTTTCCGCAGCTATTTTTTCGAGGTCTACATCATTCGCGAGATTCATGTTCTTTTTGTGAATACGTAGAATCTCGAGGCGATCCTGGAGTGATCACGCGCGGCCATGGAGGATCATCGAGCAACTTTTTCTCGGGAAATCGTATCCTGAGGATCCGAAAAAGAGTTGTGAAGTACGATCGATTCTCCATGTAGGACATGGCTCGCTGTCGGAAGTCTCGATCGAGTCGGGTTGGATACCTGAGAAATGCGAGCCCCCGTTTCCGATTTCTCGGAGCCTCTTGGAGTGTTGCCTCTCACAACCCGCATAAGTTTAATGGGAAGCAGTCGCCACTCTCCACGAAAAGATTGGGTGGCAGCGACGGGCGGTACGTCCAGAAGGCGCGACACACTCATTGTCAGCTCTGATTTGTGAATAGCTCGCTTGTCACGTGCTCGATGCTGCCCCTTAGAATCAGCGCGGTAGTTCGTCATTGTCGGCATCGTAAGTGGTTTCCAGTAGCGGCATCGAGACTGGCGCTCTGGGGAGTGAATCACCTGGGAATCATTCACGAAACGCGATCCTATCAACGGAGTCATCAGCTGAGCGCCGGAGTCAGAATGGAGAAGTTCAGCCCAGCTAAAAGACTCGGGAATTTGCGATTGAACGTTTGGTAGGTTCGCATGCGAAATCGAAACAAAGGGTCTTTCCGGCTCTATGTCGAAACTGAACCACTGGTTTCTGTCTCATCAGATTATTTATAGACACCAGCTTCGAAATTCCACAGGGAAATCTTCAGCCACTTAGCTCGCGAGCATGAGCCAGTGCATCTGGGGTCTGGTTTTCCTGACATGCCTCCCCCGGAATTCATTGCTGAGGCTCTCCGGACGGCAGTCTCGAATCCGGAGGTTCACCAAGAGACTGTAGGTCAGGTGAGCAGTTCGGAGGGCGGACGATAAAATTAGTCTCCAAGGAATTCGCCGCGTCGAATCACGAAATCATCTCCATGTTCAATGACAGGAGTCCAATCGATTGATTTGGCCTTGAGGAGACTGTATTCGAGAGACCTCAGACGCGAAGTCACTGACCGACAATTAGTTGTCACCATCGGCGCTTACGAGGCACTTTTCGATGCCTTCATGGGACTCTCGGATAAAGATGACGAGGTCATCCTGATCGAGCCCTTCTTCGATTGCTACGAGGCGATGATACGCATGGCCGATGCACGACCAGTCTTCGCTACGCTGCGTCCGGTTTGTCCTTCTCGCTGGAATGTCTCGCTGTCTCGGATTCTGCCTCATCGAATTGAAACTCGATCCTCTCCCCCAGAATGCCTCGGGAGATTGGGTTCTCGATATGGATGGTCTGCGATCGAAGTTCTCTCGGCGCACCAAGATGATCGTCGTGAATACACCTCACAACCCTCTCGGGTAAGTCTTCACAGAGAGCGAACTCTTCGACATCGCATAGCTCTGCCGAGAGTTCGACGTTGTGGCTCTTATGGATGAGGTGGACGAACGTACGGTTTTCAGAGGTCATCACGTGAGGATGGCTACTCTACCCGGCATGTGGGAGCGTACCATCACGGTCGGCAGTGCCGGCAAGAGTTTCAGCGTGACAGGTCCGACGGGTAGAAGGAAATTCCATTGATGCAATGTGAGCGCACGACCTCCGTACCGATTCCTCGACTCACAATCTCCGCAGGGTGGCACATCGGCTGGGCATACGGCCCAGACAACCTCATTGGGGCTCTTCGGAGGGTTCATGAGTTGGCGGTGAATCCATGCCCGACCGTGATACAGGAGGCACTTGCGATCTCGATTGGAAACGAGATGAGCCGCTTCGGGACAGATGCCTCCTTCTGGTCGAAGCTCCCCGCTCTACTGGAAGAACGCAAAGACAGAATGTGCTCAATCTTGACCCGGGCAGGCTTCCGCGTATTCGAGCCCAGCGCCGGGTATTTCGTCGTGGTGGATTTCGACAGATATCGTGAGTGTATTATGCATCCGGATGATGTTGCTCTTGGGCCTCTTGATCGCGAATCCTCCCGCATTTACAGCATATTGCAGCGGGGAAACCTGTGAATTTGCAAAGCGATGAAAACTCCCGCCAGCCCGAAGACCTACTCTTCGCCAAGTGGCTCTGTATACGGAAAAAGGTGTTGGCAATCCCTCCGTCGGCATTCTACTCCGAACCGAACATGCACGAAGCCAAAAGCTTGCTCCGTTTCTGTTTTTACAAGGTTCGGCACTTTTCCCGAGTTCATCTTCAAGAGCCATCGAAAGTCAATCACTGGTCTCTTCCGGAGGTTGATCGATCCATACTTGAAATTCGATGTGTCCATCTGGACTCCCGGACTCTCGACCGTCTCGAAGAATACTTACTGGCAGAGCGATGAGTCGGGAGCTGATTCTGCCAGAGATTCACAGCAATAAATGTCTCTCGGTTTAATGTAGAAAAAAAATACTTTATTTTTAATTAGGATACTGCGATCATATCGACGCCGGTGAATATCGTTATCAAAGATCTCTTCATTGGCGGTGTCGAACCAGGCTTTGGAAATAGCCATTTGACTCCTATCGTAGCTCTCGACATGTGAGTTCGCTCTTCAGATCCAGATCTTGATCCATGAGTACAGATAGGCGGAGAGGGAATCTTCAGATCTATGTCCGATGTACATACATATATTTCATGGGAATGACTTGATACGTTCAGACAGGGATGGCCACGGTGTACGATCAGTTGCGGGGTACCAATGCCCGCGGCTGACGGAAACAAAAAACGTGGGGAACGTTCTTTTCGTTTTGAAGTGAACCTGGCCAAGGCTCCGAGAGGGGCATCTCTAATCGTACTCATGGGAGTCGATACGACAAGACTTCTTGGCTTTGCCTTCCGGCGCTTTGAGGCTTCGCTTCCGCTTACAACTCTGTTTTGTTCCGTCAAATTGTTCCTTCCTTTCCTTTGTCGCCTTAGTCTTGTGTAGGCTCTGTTCAACAAACTGCTGACGTTTGGCAACAAGCTCCTCACGTTCTCTCTGTCTCCTCTTTTCTTCCTCTTCCTCATTCTCCTGAAGTTTGGCCCGGAGCTCTTCACGCTCTCGTTGTTGTTTGATTTTGAACTCTTTCTCCTCCTCATCGAGTTTCCTCGCCCGAGCAACGTGATATTGCGCTTGATTGAGAAGATCGGAGCACTGTCGTGCTTCGGCCATGGCCTGTTCGGGGTTGTACTTTCCGCCTGTGGTTTGGCTGAGCGTGGTGAAGAATTTGTGAGCGATGTCAAGCTCGGAAACAGCTTGCAGCACTGTTCTCAGGTTCGACTTTTCATCCTTGAGCACTTGCATTCCGAGGCGTTGGAGGACCAAGGCGATGTTGTACAGGATTTGAGAATCGTTGGGGACCGCTCGCCTGGCCCTCAGAAGAATCTGGAGAGGGAAAAAATTGAATTTTACCGTGAGCTGGCTTCGATCCGACAAAGAGTCAATCGGTATCGAATCTAGGAGTTTCTATGCTACTCTCAGTCAGTCCCAGCCGGGCTCAAACTCTCGCTCATGGAGTACTCACCTTCTTGCACTCCTGGAGTTTCCCCGAGCGGTAGAGGACTCTCGCCAAGTACAGGAGAATTTCAACATTATCGTACTTGTAGAATTTGTGGAGGCAATTCTCGTACATTTGGATCGCCCATACATATTGTTTCAGCTCGACGTAGATATGAGCGATGTTCAGCCACACGTCAGGGAAGTCGGCTGTCGCCTCTCGGACCTGCGCGAAAACTTCCAGAGCTTCGTGGATGTAGCCTTTGTGGGCGAGCACAGCGCCGATTCCGTTCGCAGCCCAAATATTTCTGGGATCTATCCGCAGGGCTTGTTTGTACATTGACAGAGCTCGATCCTGATAACGCTTCTCCTTCTCTTTGTCCATTCTCGTATCGTGCAACGTCGACAGCCAAACGTTCCCAAGAGCAACAAGGGCGTACGTGTCGGATTTCGTGGTTTCATTGTTGAGAATCTTCTCGAACTTTTTCTGTCCCGCACCCACTTCCCGGTTATGCAAATGTAGGTTTCCGATGAGAGACCAGCAGTCTGGGTTCTGAACGTCAACCTGGAGGGCGTCTTTGAACCACACAGAGGCGTCGTGGATTTGACCCAAATCACGAGCCATACAACCCAACCTGGGAAAAAGGTTACTCCAGTGAATCCGAGTAGTGCGTGACGAGAAAAGTCACTCATCCATCTCATCCAGAGTTCACTCACCTCAAGTAGCAATCGATATAATTGGGGTACTCTTTGAGGATGTCTTTGTACAGTTGGGTGGCCTTGTCGAGCTGATTCAAGCCTTCGAAAACTCTGGCGAGATTGTAGTTTATCATCACGGACATTGGACTTATAGTAGTTTTCATCGTGCTCCGATTCGATCTGACATCTCTCAAGGGCTGTCTCGTAGAGACCTTTGGCCTCGTCGAGTTTGCCGAGCCGATACTCGAGTGACGCCATGTTGTTTAAAATTTCCGGAGGTATCTCCGCTTGATCTTCTTGTAAAATGCTCTTGACAGTCTCGTAGGCCTGCAATGCTCCCGCAGTGTCGCTCTGTTCCAAGATCTGAGCCATTTCGATCCAGGCTTCAACATCGTCTGGGAACTGCTCGGTCACTTTCTTGAGGAAGTTGCGGGCCTGCTCCCGTTTGTTCTGGTTGCCCGATTGAGCGTAGAGTGAGCCCAAGATCTTCATGGTCTCGTAGTCATTAGGATTAGCTTTTAAAACTGTCTCGAAGCACGACATTGCATTCTCGTTGTCCTCCCGGGCAATGTACATCTGCCCGAGGCCGAAGTGAGGCAACACGAAATTCGCAGAGGCAAAATTTGTCGCCTGGTAATAATACTGGAAAGCTTGGTCGTAATCTTCCTGGACGTGGAAACAACGAGCGAGCTGGTAACAGCTCTCCGCTCGGATCGCCTCGTTCTCCGTGTTGTGGAAGGCGCGCAAAGCTAGCGTTTGAGTTTTCTGAAAATCACGCTTGAAGAAGAAATGATCCGCCAGAAGATTGAGAACCATCGGATTCGCTGAATCGATCTCATATGCCTTCGATAAGATCGTCACTCCGCTCTGAATGCCTTCAGCTGACTCGGTATTCAACTCCAGGATCGCCAAACCCACCACCGCGCCGACGCATTTGGGATTCAACTCTATCGCCCGTCCGAAAGCCAGACGAGCTTTCTCGAGATTCCCAAGTTCGAAGAAGCACAATCCCATGCCCAGGCGGACGTCCGCCGGACAATTTGGATTCGTGCGGAGAGCTTTCTGGTAGAATGCCAGCGAGCCTCGATAGTCTTTCTTGTTATAGGCGATGCAGGCTTTCCCAAGCAGCGATGGAATGTTGTTATTACTCTGATTGAGCACGAAGTCGAACTGCGCATCGGCTTGATCCATTTTGTCGCCTTCGAGCAGACAGAAGTACGCTCTACCGAGCACATGGTTTTGGTTAAACATGTTGATTTTGTCCGCAGCGGTATACAAGAGACGAGCCTGGGGGGAATCGGATCGCTGAGTTGAATTCTGATACTTCTGCGAGCGTTGGAAACTACGTCTGCCGTCAAGGGGTTCCTACCCATGTAATATTTCCAACGCCCTACCTTGGTGAATATTTCGGTTTTGAGGTCCTTGTTCTTCTCCCGCTTCGCCTCCCGCACGTACCACGCGGCGAGAGTATCCAAACACCTCATCTGGTCTTGTTCGTGCTCGGGATAGTCCAGAGATGCCCAAGTATTGAAACCTTGCCGCGCGCAATCCAGCAAGGCCACCATGTCAGCTTCTTTTCCTTTCCTGGCGGAACGACGAGACAGACTATGAATATCTCTCGGATCTCTTTGACATATCCAGCGCGGTCCGGAGTTTCCAAGGCTCAAATAAAGGCCCTGAGGCTCAAATAAATCAGAGAAAACTTTGCTCTGATAGCGCCTGCTGACCTGTAGTAAGCTAAGGCCAAGTTCACCCAGATGTGCAGCTGTGCTTTCTCCTGTTTCAAGATCGTCAGCGTTTCTTGGCCGTCGGGGAGCTGGTTCAAGTCGAGCTCGATGACCTCATCTGTATCCCTGAGCGGGATCTCTATCGATCCCGATTCCATACTCATGCTGATTGTCAGAATTTGTGATTCCAAGTTTCTTGCTTTAGTCAGGAGCTGGCACTGATCGAGAGTAGAGGTCTATTCTGAGTTTAGCAGGTCCTTATAAACCTATCTGTTGAGTAAGGGACTTGGGAGAGTACCTCCTTTATGTGAGGATCACCGTATCTATCGGGTTCTGAGATGTGGGGTTCTAATGATTCTAGGAAGCGGGTTCAGAGTGCGAATACGAAGTGGGAGATATAGACGGCTTAGATGTGTGCGGGGTTCTGAAGAGACGAGGGTCCGGGTTAAGATGAGACGAGGATTCCAAGTGTTAGAGATTCCAAGTTAGAGATTCCAAGTTAGACGCTTCGCTCGGTATGAGGTGATGGGGTCGGTTTCCCCGTATGAGTTTTCTTGAATTCATACCAGAAGTTTTTTCCCCCGATTGGTGGAGAATCTTTTCTGAGACAAACGATTTCTGTCGTCGCCTGTCTATGACAATCGAGTGATTCCGAGAGACAGAGCGTTTTGAAGTCGAGCTTGAATTTCTCTATGATACAGCTGAGATTCTGCGCTGTACAGGAATCAGGACAATGGGAATAATAATAGAAGTAGTTCCTGGCTGCGGTGTGGTGCGGTCCCCGCAAGGATTGCGAGCCGACCTTCAAGGTGTGACAGAGGGGGACCTGAGCTCCGGATCGAATTCTAGAGAAACTGCGCGAATCAAATCAGTCAACATTCTCATTCTGATGAAGATGGAATATTTTAGCGCTTGGCGGATAAGTACTCGAATGAGGTCATGTTTCTCAAAGTTGATGTCGACGATAATGACGAAGCGGCGGCAGAATATGACATATCGAATCTGCCGACTTTCCTCTTCATACGCGGGTGAGTCAATACACCCCCAGAGGAGGCATGAAAGTACTAAGTCCGATTCTTCCAAGGCAAAATGAGCAGGTGATCGAGAGCAGGCTCTGAGCGAGAGAACTCTCAGATATCGCGATAGCAGAATCGCGGAAGTATCTCAATATATCCACATGGCACAAATATTTTCGATCACATTTGGGTGTTCGACCCTTGTCTCAGGGGTCAAGTCCTGCAGCGCCTGAATGGATTCATGACTTATGATAAGTCGCACGAAGCCGTTGAGGCGTACAAATAGCACCCCGTTCCCTCGGACCCTAGAACAGGTAAATCTGCGACGACGAAAACTGGGAAAATGTGAGGGCAAAAGTCCGTATCAGGGAGAAGCTCGGCGACCGTGTTCCTCATCTCTTGCGCTACACCCATCAGGCTGCTTCAGGATGTCTTGTCACTAGGCTGACCATCAGGTCTCGAGGGGTTCACGCTAGGAAGCTTCATATCGTCTCCGATTCACCATCGATGGCCTGCACGTCCCTCTTTACCCTCTCCTTCCCTCACCGACTGGCAACTTGGCGTTTGGATCGCGATCTAGAGCTCGTAAAGTTCTCGTAGAGCTCGGAGATGGTGTACACGTTGGTCAACGAGAAAGTAAGTCTACTTTGTGAGCGTGAGCTGCGATTTCCTCAAGGATTCTTTGACCGGGCGCTCACAACTCATGAGTCTGAAATTTATGAGAGATCGGTAGGAAATTAGGTGTGTGTGATTTCCAGGATGAATTCAATGACAAGATCAGAACTGCGGGTGACAAACTCATGGTAATCGACTTTTCCGATACGTGGTGTGGTCCATGCAAACAGGCCGAACCTATATTTAAGGTGAGTTGAAGTCTTTCGAGCGATATGCTTCATGAGATCGAGATCCACGTTCATCCACGCTCGGGCAACAGATGCCTCATGTCGGAGGAATGGATCCGTGGCAAGCGGATACGCGACTTGTCTCCTCACTCTCATTCGACTGTTCGAGTTGGTCTGCGGTGCGTTATCAAAATCCGCTCCGCATGGGGAACTTCGCAGTCGTATACGGGATATTATTCAGTGGTCTCTTATCGGGAACTGTCACGAGGAGGATTTTGAATGCTCTGCAGGGTATGAATGCACGATCGGTCGAATTAATGGGAATCTATTCCTAGCTCGTATCGGAAGGCTGCATAATTTCGCTCCATTCTTCGAGCAAATGATTCTTGGGCGTCAATCGATAATAAATGATTTCCCATGCACCACTCGATCTCTTAAACACGCCCAGCTTCAATCAAGCTCGTTCTCTATTTCTGAATCCCGCTTCAGAATCAGGAGCGGGTTCTGTAGTTGAGGAAACCTCTCAAGAATCTCATGTGGAAATTCCAGAGGATCTCGGAACAGTACAGCGACGTGATTTTCCTCAAGGTCGATGTGGACGAGAACGAAGATGCTGCCACCGAATACGAAATCACTTCTTTGCCGACATTCATTTTTTTCAAAAACGATGCAGCGGTCGACACCTCGATGGGAGCCCTGACTTCAGATAAACTCACCGAAGCCATCGACAGGAACAAATAGGAGCACTCCTTAGCGAACCATGATCCGCGTGCTGACCGGAATACGCCACCAATGTCCGTGCTTCTGATGAGACTGTGTACCCCTCAGGAGATAACTGAGTTCCTAGTTGAGAAGTGTAAGAAGCGCGAGCAAGAGTGGCCGTTATGCCGCTCCTACACGTATGGCTGAGGCAGGGGCTCTCCTCAACCCGTCACGTCAGGACGCTCAGCGTGCCGCGTCTTGTACCGCTTCGGATTCATCGAAACACGTCTGAGTTTTCAATGCGCGGGTGTACTCCTCCGGGTGCCACCTAGCGAAACAATTCCTACGCATATATTCATCCAGGGAAGGATATTCCTGCCGGGAGTTGCTTTCACTTGCCGCTAGCAGCTCAAAACATAGATTTCTATCAAGCTAAAAATGTGCACGCAAGCGAATCCACTCATGCAGTACATTGTAATGTGAAACCCTCAATAAACTCATACTTCATCACTCATGGCGTCGCCTGGTTAGTGCTCACTGAACGCGGATTTCTCGATGGGTGAGGGCTAATTCCGACCCCTGTCGATCGTGAATCGCGGGAGGCAATGATCTTTCTCTGTACCCCGGGACTGTATCTTCGTCCAACCCATCACTCGCTCAACATGTCTGGCTCTGCTCCACCGCTTCGAGAAGAACGCAGATATACTCAAGTGGGGATTGCGCGGAGCTCAAGGATATTCGCGAAGCGCGCATTACGATCTAGCTTCGGAATTCAGACTGCTGCGATGAGCACTCTGTGCCGAGGGTCCTGATTATTAGACTAGTGTCAAGTGGGAATGAAGCCCGAAGGATTCGACGCTTTCTCGGCTTGGTTCGCGTAAGTCTCGTATCCGGGGAGTCGAGTTCAGGAATGACCCGCCATAGAGTTCGACTCACTTCAAGTTACCTCCCCTAAAAGATTCCGGAAGGATTTGAGGGGACTTCGGAAGCTGATGGAACTCTTCAGAACAGGATCATGAAGTATCGACAGACTCCGAGTCCAGATCAAGACGTTCCGAGGATCGAGCCAAGAATCCACGTCCCGATCAGCGATTAGCTGCGCGGGTTCTAGCTAGCAGCCACTTAGTGGTCGGGCTCGGATTAGCACTGGAATCACTTGACTGACCAGACCGTTCTGAGTTCCGAGAGCGCTTGACGCATAGACGAATTCAGACCGGTTCTGACTCTCATGGTCTGTGGCTATCAAGAATCCTTAGGAAGTGGACAAACTTATTTTTCAGTAATGTATTTTATTCCAACGCCCCGCGGCCTAGCTAACCTATGTTTATCACCCCTGGCTTCTACCCGGAGCCGCGTCACAATCGCTCAATGCATGCGTCGAGACAAAACCAATACCACCACGCTCTCAGGACTCTCCAGGGCTAGGTACTATCACATGCGTTTGGAGACTTCATGAAATCAGGTCAGTTTCCAGTCACGTGTATATGTATTCACAACTATGAGTGTATAACTTTGTTGGCTACCGCCAACCACGAGATCGCTTCTAAGAGATCGTCAATGAACGAGGAGATAAGGTTGGACCGCGCGAGAATTTCGCGAAACGCGGTCGATTTGAAAGAGCAAGAATGCAATCACGCTCTCTCTGAGGCTTGATTCCACCGATCGACTTCAGCGTTTCATCATTTTTTTCACTTTGTCTATGGCCCTGCTGAAATTTTCCATGGATACCTCCGTGTCGATCAGCTCGTTCTCGAGATAGTTGACCAGCATTCTCTCGCGGATGGGCTGCAAGGCAGCCTCCGAACACAACGCGGAAATATCGGAGCCTACGAAACCGTGGGTTTCCGCAGCTATTTTTTCGAGGTCTACATCATTCGCGAGATTCATGCGTTTCGTGTGAATACGTAGAATCTCGAGCCGACCCTTCGCTCTGGGCGGACGGAGATCGCTCTGCCAACCGAAAGAAAACAAATTACGGACAGCGGGATCGATCGACTCGGGGCGACTCGTCGCGGCTATGACCATCACCTGGCCTGCATACTTGAGGTCGTCGATCAGGGTCAAGAGTTGCGGCACGATTCTCCTCTCAACCTCACCGAGGGTGTCCCGTTTCGGCGCGAGGGTATCGATCTCATCGATGAAGATGATGGCGGGTGCATTCTTCGAAGCTCTCCGGAAGGTTTCGCTCAGTCTCGCTCCGGACCAATCGCCGAGCTCGGACACCATTTCTCGTCCGTTGATCGAAATGGAATATACTGCGGTTTGATGTACGATCGCTCGTGCGATGCGTGTCTTGCCGACGCCTGGGGGTCCTTGCAGCAAAATGTTCCACCAGGACTTCACTCCAAAACTTTTCAATAGCGTGGGACGGCGGAGCGGCAACTCGACCATCTCCTTGATGAGCGCCAGTTGCTTTCTACAACCACCGATATCGCTGTAACCGACGATCTCCTCACCCCGCTTGATCGGGGCACCCGCGCATAGTATGGTGGTGTCGGCGTCCACAATACAATAATCAGTGGGATCGGTTCTGATCACTCTGAATGCGACGGAGCGCTTTCGACCCCGGACAGTGAATGTATCCTGTGCATGGATTGGCTTGGCGTGGTCGTAGGGATAGTGGAAATACGGATAGAGGAATTCGTATAGAAGACTACCGTTGAAACCTTCGACGGTATCCTCGATCGGTAGCACACGGATACTCTTGCCGTTTATGATGTCACCACAGATCTGGATTGTGATCTCTCCTCCTATACGTGTACGGAGATTGTTCCGGACGCTCTCGCTCACACGAATTTTCTCGTCCAGACAGCTTTCATCCGTGAGAAGACGAGCAACCGTCTTGCGACGTTTTGGGCCCTGTAATCAATTGGAACGTGCACGTCGCGGAAATCCGGATTGCTTACAGTTCGAGCAAAATAGAATCCGTCCATTCTCTTTTCTCACCTGGAGAAGGACGATGCCACCATGCGGTAGATCCAATTCACGGATCTTTGTCGGTGCAAGGTACACGCACGAGTCGTCTCCGGACACAGCTTCATCGACAATGAGACGTTTGGGCACGGGCTTCGTTTCATCCGAAAGCGGAACGCTCGTCCTGGAAGATGGTTAAAAGCATTCGATTAGCTTGATTCCGGATAAATGCTTGTCAAAAACTCGCTGTGGATAGGTGTCGAGTTTGTGGCAGACAAATACACCTTTCGGGTCGTAAAGGAGCCCGCGAGTTTCACGGGACACGGTATTGATCAGATTACTCTGCCGCTTCCAGACCTGGTGGCCGTCAGTGGACTCCGCGGATGCTCAACGGGATTCGCCGAAAAGCGAGCATGACAACTAAGCCAAGCCCAAGCTCCAACTCACGGTGTCCCCTCGGCAGTTTGAAATACTTAGTCGGGAGAGAACCCTGGTGCTCATCTGGAGAAACTTACAGTGGACGTTCCCTAGATTCCTCTGCAGCCATAGTGGGTCTGATCGGAGCAATTATCCTCAAGAAGCATTCCAAAATGATGAGTAGAACTTCAGCATGATCAGATCCATGCCCTCCACGCCATGGGCAGGATATATTCAACAGTTGGTCACAGAGGATACAGGTTCGAGTTACGATTCACGACCTGTCCGACAGAGACATGACGTCTTCTGGGACACTGTCCACGATTCCATTGTGATGAGGGAATTTAGCTGCACAGACGAATCGGCAATATGGGCGTTTTTTCAGCGCGGGAGGAAGCCGTGTTGATTTATCGATAGAGAGAGCGCACGTGACTGTGGGGGTGTCTAGCTGTGCAGGATACAGGAGGGCAAGTACACTGACCCGTCGTATACGACGACGGGAGAGGGAGAGCGATGCTGTTAATGATCTTCGCTTCGAGGAGGCGAGCAGCGGCCAGCGGCGAGCGGTGCACATCATGGTGGGGTTTTAGTTTAACCCGCTTGTTCCGATGTCACTACAAGGCGATTATTCGAGCAAGATTTATTGAATTCGCCGGCTTTCTGGACGGGATTTTCAGCGGACTCGATTCCGCCGACCGAATGAAAATGTTTCGATGTATCACTCGACAAGTAGCGCCCCCGGTCGTCTCCCCTGAGCTCTCCGCGGGAGTCATTAAACCTGAGCATCGATGAACAATTGTCGAGCATCGATTGCCTCCATTCAGGAGTTCATGATGCGAGACTCAACTCGGACTTGGAGAGTCGAACAAGTTTTCCAGCTTTCCGACTTCCGATCAGGTACTTTGTCGCGGGATCTGTGACCGCGGTATCGACAGAAGCAAAATAGAATGCACGCGACCGTCAAGGAAATGCCGATCTCTCCGGGCGACGATCCAAGGAGGACGAGGAGCATTGCGGGCATTCTCCCTGGGTCTGACTGCGCCGTGAGTCAAATTCAATGGTTTTGGGCCGCTTGCCGCGAACGGAGCATCGGAGCGCGACCACGTTATATATTCCGTCAGCAGGATGGATGAGTCCCCGCCGAGCCGCGATTCGGAAAGTTCGGAGTCTACTTCTAATACTTGAAACTCTTTCTCACAGCGACCGCACAACGACACAGGCGCTATCGGAGGCGATTCTCTCGAGTTCGGCTCACGACCGAAACGCAGTGCAACTGAGGGCCTCGTTCTGATGCACCTCAAACTAACGCAGCAATAGTCGGGTGAAATCCGTGCTCACTCGAGGCTCAGTTTTCACCGCAGGGAATTGAGGCAGGGCGCGTATTACGTTCGGTGTACAAAAAGTCTGGTCCCCCATGCTCTTGTGCCCTCATGCTCCCGGCAGAGCTCGTGACGTCAAAATCCTAGGTCGACCCTTCAATGCAAGTTGAATGACCGTGAGATTTCAGTCGACATCTTTGCATTCTCGTCGCAATCACCGCAACCTTGGAGGTGCCCGTTTCCCATGTATCGTACGAGATCTCTCCACTAATGAAATACATTTCGATTAGAGACCTCTGCATCAAGGAGCTCAATGTCTAGAGGAGTTTTCCCGGAATCACGAAAAAAATCTCCGGGAAATTACTCAATCGAGAGGCTCAGCGAGACTGTGATTGAAAGGCCATTGCGACATTTCTAATCTTGTTTGTAGTAAATGTTATGAGACCTCAAGTGAGTCAGTGGGTCTTCGACTACCTGGTGACCTTTCAAAGAGTAAGCTCCGATGTAGACCCAGCCTGCCATAGGCTGTCTTCTCAGAGAAGCTCTCCCTCTCGTTGCCAGACCACCGCTTACCACCATAGCTCTGTGGTCTAGTAGAGCGCAGTGTCTCAGTTCTTCTAGATGGACGTTCGTTTCGTCTTTTAGCCTTGTGACACTCTTCAGAGCCAGCTATCAATTGGAACCACCGAGTGCGACCACGAAAGCCTCTGTGCGCTTTCGAGATGTGTTCCTACCAGAGCTGTTTGGAATTCAAGTGGTCGGTCTGAGAAATCGTCCCTTCGATTCGAAGGTCGCAACTCGTCGACTATCTGATGCATGAAGAACCCATGCCCCCTGGCTACCCGGAGCTCGACCGTCAGAAATGTGTATATCCGAATATTCCGTGCGCGGAGACGGGTACCACGGAGCCCTTATGGCCCGAGCGGTGCCGTCAGCGTTCATTCGAAAATCAACGACGCAACTCGGAGGCGAAAGACCCGCTGCCGCGTACTACGTCTCTGAATCGGGTAGAGAGAAAAGGATTATCTCCAAAGTCGCGCAGCAACAATGATCTCACTGACTTGAGGGCGTCCCTGAGTCCTTCGCCGGAACCTCGAAGCGTTGTGCTCGATTCCGACGATCGATCACGGCCTCTGCAAAGATACTACTATCCAGGCAAGTCCGATAGAACTTTCCACATCGCGTTACCGGATCCCGTCGACGACCGCAAATCACAAGTCAGCCGGTCGTGTCCACCGATACCGACCATCAACGTCGATCAGTTCTACCACTGGCTGGATAATAACGAGTTCAAGCCTCGAAAGAAGCTCGTCGACGCTCCGGAGTACAAGAATCCCTCGCTAGTACAGTGGGCAAGCATGAGTCCGACGAGACTGGACGAAGCTCCACCGCCGAGCGATCCGAACCGGTCGTCTAGCCCCTCCGAATCGATACACTTGAATGTGCCGCCCAGGAGTCGCTGCGACAGTGGAGGCAGCAGTACTTCCAATAGTCTGCCGGATCTCTCAGAGCTCGCCGATGTCGCGCTATCGCAAACCGAGCTAGAACTCCACGAGCTTGCCGGTGCACTGCATACTTTAGGAAACCGAGCTCCATCCCGACTGAGAACGGGCTCTCCCGACGGCTGCTCACTTAACGAGATCACGAGTAATTATTTGACAACCAGCGAAGGCGGGAGTGTTCATCGGAACGGGAGTTTGGCCGGTAGTTGTTCTAATTTGAGTGACGCGAACGCAAGTTTTGCGACCGGCTTAGATGGCGGTCCAGACGTCGACAACTCGTATGTGAATCGAACCGATCGCCCCTCAAGTGATATGAGTGGAAGCTATGTGAACGTCGACGATGGGGTCGCTTCGAGACTTTCGCCTAGAACGGATGACGACGCCGATATCAGCGATCTCCTGCGTACAATCGAAATGCTGGAGAGCAGATGTACGATGTTTCTTGACGACTGGCTGGTGAGTCCCGTCTGAAGTTTGTCCCGGAGTATATTGGGGTACAGAGGAACTCTCATTCATAGAAATCCACAACTGATTACATACCGTTATTTTGCTACTGAAGAATCATCAAACGAACAAATGAGCGTTCGCACAACCTTCGAACACGTTCGCATCGGCGATGACGACAAGACGGCGAGCGATGATCGCCTGGCTATTAGTAGGCTGTCGCTTATGTATGCGCATATGTATTCAAACTGGACCCAGAAACGTACATTGACTGAATATACATTCAACCAGCCGACGATCGCGATCTACGCACTAAGGATTGTCCGAACGACGAGCAGCCCGCTTTGTCGACAACCATTTGTTTGATTCGTTCTCAAACGATTATCGGTCCGTCGATCACTCGGAAGCGATTGGCGGAGTGCTCTGGTCGTTGATGCAATGATCTGGTGGGAAGAAATCCTGCATGTCCCTATCAGCATCGTCACGCAGCTGCTCTTGTTACGAGGGCTCTACGGGACTGCTCCCAGATTGCCTGGAAGATGTCGCGCAAAAAGAATCTCTTTACGATATGTGTACGGCGCGATTGAGCTCGGCCTCATGGCCTGACAGCTCTACGCCGCCGCAAGAATCCACTAGCCACGGTCTTGGCTTCTCGCGGGCGAGCGGCCACTCTGTTCTCGACTCGATGATTATGTCGTAGTCCGTTGATAGTCGAGAGCTGCGGAAGAGCGCCCACGACGCAATTTACGATTTCTCCGAAAATTCTCGGAGTTGTGAAAAGCTCGGTTTTCCCGCATGACTCAGATTTTCCGAATCCACCGCTACGCAAAATCAACGACCGGATGAATCACACCGGATTTTCGGACTTGAGTGATTTGTCAGCGAAAAATGCTTCCCTCGAGCTCTGTACAAGCGGCGATATGCAGTAAACGAGCTCGGCGCTGGAAAACTCCGAGCCAATTAGGAGAAGCTAGCTCATCATGGAAACAATACGAATAGTCCAGAAAATCAGATATTAGAGCTTTGGGTCAGACGTCAGATACCCGGGGCGGTGTTCCCTAGGCGGCGGCAGCAGCAGCAGGGATGTCGGTGGCCGGCCAAGTCCGCGGCTGGTGGCAGCGACGACCGCGCCGGCAGCGGTCGGTAGGGATATGGCCGAGGGAGAGAGTGAGACGCCCCGTGAGCCGCTAGCTGTCCACCACCAGCAAACGGTACAAGTTCGCAGAGAAGTGCGCCGGTGAGAAGCACCGCGGAGTCGAATGACCCGAATTTCGGCAAAACGTACTCCTTTCTGAACAGCATAGTCGGCTGTCCGGAATAGGATTTGTGTTCTGTGATATACTGGGATTGTTCTGAAAGCCTAAACTTCGAAGGATTCCACCGACTCCTCTGTCCTGGAAGAGTTGGGAATGAGAGTTCGGAATGAGCTCAAGTTGGATATTGTTTTCGGGTCATCCTGCCGATTCCGTGCATGCGGCTTCTAAACCAGAATCTTCATCGCCAGTGTTGTAGTCGCGGGATGAAATCCCGGATTCCGAGGATTTCCGACTCCCCGTCGAAGAGGACAGTCTAACAAGCGTTCGTTGATTGTCAGATCTGTGGTCGGGAGTAATTTCCAAAGTTGACAGCATGAGCTCGGATCAGACGTCATCTGTCCCCGACAGCGAACAGAGTCGATCACGGTACGAATCGTTGTTGGCGCGTCTCAAGTTGCCCAAAATGACGACCAAGGTGAAACAGAGGTACAACATGAGCAAAGTCCTCAAACCCGCTGACGATGACGACGACGACTCTTCTGGTGGTCAACAACTGGAATGTGGACGGTTTTTGGAGTACTTCAAAAAGCCTTCGTCTATTCGTCATCATGGTGTGTCGGGACTCCCACGTTGAAGCAGTGCAGCTGGTCGCAAATATCCATCCTGCACAAATCAGGAGACGAGTGCTGCTCGAGCTTATCGACGGCTTCGATATCCGACTCGGGTCTGAGCTCAGGGGATGACGTCAGTGCGGAGTCTTCTCCCAAACTTCAGAGCGCTTGCGATCATTCGAGTAATTTTTGCGAGGCTCCCGAAGAACCCCCGATTAAGCCTCCCAGACTGTTGAAGAAACGGAAGCAGAGTCTCTGCAGCAATCGCTCCACTGGCGTTTTGAGTCTGACGACCACGATACCCGTTGTGCCAAGGGATCCGAACGACATTCTATTGATGACACCGCCGGTCATCCTTCAGGTTGGTAGCCCACGGATGCTCGAGTATGGCAATTTCGGCGTCGAAGACGATATCTCCTCCCTGTCGAAGTTAAAGGCACTCTTAGTTTAAAGCTCAATCGACACGGATGGCTTCTTTTTTGGTTCGGGGATTCGCGGTTTCGGTTCCGAGTGGGGAAGCACTGGCTATCTCGCCCCTGAAATAATAATGATCCTAATGACGATTTTGATGGCAATGTCGAAGCCGGCTCGCTACGCTGGCTCTTCCCGGCTTTTGTTTCGTTTTGTCTTTCCCCCACTCTTCTTTTCATTGTTCATCGTTCGAGGCGAGCATCCTGCTCGGGGAACGAATTTGTGCGGAACACGGTGCGTCGAAAAGCGCTCGTTGCTCGTCGAGGATATCCTGACGGCGCGGCGGCGGGAACCAGAATTTGATTTGGCGAAACTTCATTTCTAATGGAACAGTCTTCCCGAACCGATGCTCAAAAAAAGCAATGACATTCGGGCGTGTTCAGAACCGGGGACATCTTCTTGGGGGCTGGAATCGATTTCACCATCGCAGACCCGCATGAATCGAGCGCATTGACGCACCGCGCTGGACGGGAGATCGATTCCCTTGTACAGGCAAGCTCGCGTACTCCGCGACCGATTCTTTGCCGAACTTTTCCGTCAATCGAAGCCGAGGAAGCGGCCGAGCAGGAAGAAAGATTGTCGATGTCCGACATCGCCGCGTAAAAAGTACGGCTTGTGCACGTTCTTTCCGGTACGTGTGCGACTGACACGCCGAAGAACTCTCTTTTCGTCCGGACTTTCCGACCGGAATGCCGGAACGACATCCACCTAAATCCCATGATAAAATCACTAGTCAAAAGAATATATATTTTCCCGTTATCCGTGATCGGCGCGATTCCCGATGACGTTCTCTGGCCATGAACAGAAACTCGGGTCAACTGCAAGGGACCGCGTCTAGTCACGTTACGGATTCCGTCGAAGGAAACACGCGAGGATTCCGAACGTCGAACAGAGCCGGCTCAATCCGAAACCTTCCGGACGAAAATTGGTTTCCGCTTCTGGACTATGTCCTCAGCGGTCAGTAACGGAATGTTTGCACCGGAACGAGAAGATTCAGAGATAGAGCGACGATCAAAGTCACAATCCTTGGAATGGACTTCTCCATCGTTGCTTAAACCTTCATGGAATACTGTGAGCGAAATTAAGGTGCCTATCCGTCGTCTGAAGTCAAACGGTGTCGATTCAAACCAGCGGGAACAGAAAACGTTCCTCAGTACTAGATATAAGACTGAACGGTGGAATCCGGACGATCCACTCGACATCGAGATGCATCTGATTCCGTCGGCAGTCACGCGACGCGACCGAGACGCAGATTCGGGAAGTTTGGCGGACCCGGTTCGCAGGCGAGCTGGGATCGACTCGAAGGTGCCTGCTTTGGTCCCATTGTCTTCCCTGCCCATCGAATGACTCTCCTTAATCTTCCGCAACCAATTCCGAGGACTTGGGGAGCGTCTTTGCCAACCACAAAAAAACGGCCACTACAGACCGTCACGGGCCTTTCCAAGTAAATGAAGCTTTTCTGCCCTACTCCGTGCGCTTCGGCGGGAAACGAATCCCCCGAAGCGGGTTCTGTGAGTGAGCAATGAGATTGAATTGTGTGCGACGAATCGCTGAATGCTGTCGCCGACGACCACGGGTTGACGGTTGTCAATGGCCACCGAAAGTAATTTTCGACATTTCTTTCTTCTGCGACCGCTGAACGAATGAGGTCCCGTCCAATCATTGAAGTCAGCGAGAGAAGAAGTAAACATCGCTGAACGCTTGTCGCAAGCCTCGCTCCTCTTACCAGAGTCGAAATCTGCACAATCAAGGGTCTGAACTTTGCAATGAGTCACAAGCCTTCGAACGACGGATTGGTTGGAGGGGTATTGCGTTAAGTCATCGTTTAGCACGAGCGTCCTTCAATACTGTCTACTTCTGCGAAAGTTTCCATGATTCATCATGCGCGCCAACGCGCTTTCCATCGGATTCGAATCCAGAGGGAGCAAATTGAAAGCTGTGACGGCGAACATGACTCGGTCACGTCGTGGATCGTCCAGCACGGTTACGGAGGCCCATTTCATTGATTTCTGCCACAACCCCCGATGGCAACACTCATTTGCTCGGAAAAAAAACAGCATAATCGGAGACAGGTATGGAAAATTGAGCATGTCGCGCATCTTCTGCGTCGTTCGCGGGTGCTCGAGCTCCCGGGTGAGTAGATCAGCTGGTCATGGATCACGGACTAGAAGCGATCGAGTCGGAAATTCATTCGACGACGATACCCGCATCGAATTGATCATTGGAAATTCCTCCGGTTTTCATTGGAATGGAGCGGTCCGCTCATGGTCTAGATTCCCGTCGAAATTTCTCCATATTCTTCACACTATCCCTCGAGCGTTCCCTTAACCGGGTTGAGTCAAAAGTCAAACACTGTGCTCGTTTGAGCTTCCGTCTCAAGCGAGCGACAACGCAGTTAAACGAATGCAGCCCGAAAATGAGGCGTCTAAGCGACTGCCTTTCGCCTCGCGGAACAAGATGTCTCGGAAATCCGGAAGGGGGGAATGTGTGAGTATCTTCGCCCGCGAAGAATCGCTCGAATTGGATTTTGAGATCCGGAGCTCCCGAGGAGTTTCCCGCAATTTGCGAGGGAGTAATGCCGCCTCGCTTTCCTCAGGTTCCTTGGTTGCAAGTCAAATCCTGTTTCGGACAGATTGCTCGCTGGTTCGTCCTACCGGAGATGATGTGTCGGAGGAGAACTCGAAAGGTTTCTAGAATTCCACGACCAGCAAGCTCTCACGATTGGCGGGAAAAGCTTCATTACGGAACCGAGCGGAGATGCGATTTCGGTAGTGAAGGTGGGACGATGGGAAGGCGGGATTTAGATGGCGTCGTTACGACATGACGGATATCTTGTTACATTAGAATGCTCCAGACACCCGATCGAAAACCCATGTCGCTACAGCGTCGGAGGATCTTTGTTGCTTCGCATTTTCTGAGTCCCGTCGGATCTCACTCATTTGTCCGCATCAGATTTGGGATAGCCCAGAAAAGGGCTCGGATTACCGTATGCCGCGGGGGAAGAAAAGTCATCGTAGACTTCGCTGCATTCGCCGTCTTTCGGAGCTGCGGACTTCTCCCTCGGGACAACCTTCAGGCCCGGCGCTGATTTATCTGTGGTCAGTCACCGTTCATTGGAATTGGGTTAAACTTGGAGCCTGAGCGAGTTTTATGATGAATTCGGCTTTGCGCGTCAGCTAGACAGACGAGCGTTCGTGGAACCATTTGGCGAGCTCAGTTTAGCATCCCCGCGGGATGCGCTTAATCCAAAGCGGCTCAGAAACACCTATCTCCGATTCTTTTGTTAAGTCCAAAGAACCCCGAGTCACTCCGAGCAGCTGCGTGATGTCGGAGTTTCTGACCGCCAAAAAGGAAATATCATCGGAAATTCTGTGGTTTGCGAGCCATGGGCTGAGTCAGCCGAGGGAGTCGTTCGTATATTCCGAAATCGACTGATCCGAAGTGCCAGGGGCGGGACATCTCCCTGTTAACGTGAGAAGTTATTGGTGGCTCGGAAATTGAGACCCGAGAGTTAGCGTCAACCAGATTAGGTGAATGGCGACCCCACAGCGGACAATTTGCTAAATACATCGGAAAGTCGCGGTGTCGGTTCCTCATCTTGTGGCTGCTTTTTGAGCCGATTCGGCTGAGTGGATGCGCTTTCGCTGCTACTCACGCTTGACTCTGCGATGCTGAGGGTCCTTCGGAAAGGGGAAATGCAGCAAATGCCCGAATAGTCAAATGTTGATATGCATCGACCGCCGTTGTCGGCTTTTGTAAGAGCGATAAAATCTCGATTGGAATAACTGAAAACGTCAACATCGGATTCATCCACCCGGCGAACTAGATAGTTCACGACCGACGACGGGTTTTCGCCCGCCAAGACCGAAACCGAGAACAAAGCGAAACGTTCGCGCGGTAACTTGCTTTCACGTCGTAGGGATATCGGATGGATCAGTCAGATTGGGATATTCGACATGTCGTCTAGAATGGAACATCCAAACAAATGCCAGTCTGAGCTTTTTCGCAACAGTAAGAATGTCGACAGCCAAGACTCCGTTGAGCGAGTACTGTTCAGCAGAATTTCCATCTTGTCTTTGGGAGGGCTAGGTACTTCTATTCATTCGTCAGGCGTCTCTTGTGAGCCGGCTTCGTGCTTCGAAATGTCACCAGCTACATATGTCGGAGCATCTCCATCGGTGACATAATTTCCTTTCCTGGAAGGAAAGCTTTCCGCTTCATCTGACGAAGAAACTGTCAGGCCGCTAGGATTCCCGAATGTAGAAACGGCGTTTCACGTATAACGACAGAAGGGAGTTTTCGTTTGAAATCCCGCGTCGAATGCATGTTGGGATCTCGGTTTGGAGCCTGAGCTTCGTTGAAAAGGGACTCATCCGAGCAGGATTCATGTCTTGAAGCGGGAGCACACTCGTTTCCCGGGCCAGAAATCCGGGGAGCACAACATGAGGAACACTAGGGGGAGCAGGCCGTACACCGTTGCAGCTGTGCCCTCCTCGGCTAAGTTGGAGGCATAAGAGCGAGGAGAGTGACGGTTGGCGACCGTGGTCGCATATAGCACTGAGACTGAATCGCGGGCGTATACGGAATCGATCCCGACCCGACAATTCTCAGAAGTCAAGTGATACGGATCCCGCCTCACAAGACAATAATTTCGTTGCAGCCCTCAGCATCGAGTGAAGATCATCCCATACATTCGCGGTCTCCAATCATCTCGCACTCAGTGAGTTTGCTCTCCCACGGTCCGAGGTGAGTTAATATTGTTAGGACTGACCTTTCGTGGTTCTACTCGAAGCTTTTACTGAGAGGGTCATGTGGCTGGCAGCTCGGGTCGCGCTATGTGTGTATTGATGGCCCAAGCGACGAACGACTGTTGGAACTCCGAGATCGTGAAATCTCCCTCAGTTTTGGCGTTCGAGGGCGAGGAGATCATCTCCGCCCTATTAGTCCAACCTCTCTGGGGTATCACATCGAATATTCTCTACTAGATCTCGAGCGAATTGACTCGATAAATTGAATAAACTGATCGGATCGTTTCCATTGCAACGCAGGAGAATCGGTGTGGAGATCTCAGGCGGGATCGATGCTGAAATCCCAGTAGTCATTGAGCGCGTGGATGACGATTCTCCGTTCAAGGGCAGAATTTTCAAAGGAGATTACCCATGGACCATAAACGGAGTTCATGTGCAAGGTCTCAAGAACGCACAGGTAAATATTGACTCCGATGACGCCATCGTCCGCTTGCTCTAGATAGATCGGTGACTCCGGGAATTATTTCAAGGAGAGCTGAAATGAGATTTGGATTATTCCTAGTTGTGAGCGTAATACATATATGGCTGCTGTTCCAGATAGCGCAGTTACTCCGCGGTGACAGCCATCACGACACGGTGAAGGACGATGGGATCTCCGTGAGCGTACTGCCCTGTGAGTCTCCTCCCAGCGAGCAATCTCGTGGACTTGAATACAGACATATAATAATAATATATCAGCCACCGAATTGAATATCCTCCACTCTTCTGAAATCCAAGCGCTGGTGCAAGATTTCTTGAGGATCAGTGAGTCTTTCATAGTCTGGTTCCAATCCTCGACACAACGCTCTTTCATCTACCCCACAGGTTCATCGCGAGCTTTGGAAGCGTCGATAGTCGAAATGGAAGCAGCCGTTCAGTCTCGATCATTGGGAGCTTGGTACTCGAGCGTGCCACGATACGACCTTCGACAAACTCATTCAGCGTCCAGAGCTCCGGGGAACGTCGAGAAGAATAGATATTCCGACATTGTTGCCTGTAAGGATTTCTGCCATTCTTCACCGGTTACATAGATCGCATCGTGGTTCATCCCCGATTCTGGAATGAGCGGAAATAATATCTTCTTTCGTTTGCGTAGACGATTCCACGCGAGTTTTGCTCACGCCGAATGAATTCAACGGGCAATCTGATTATATCAACGCCAATCATGTTAACGTATGTACATAACCGCCGAGACATATAGCCCTCGCCTCCTCCAATACACCAATATGATGTGAGTCCGGCTTCGAAGCGACTGACCTTCCCCTCGTTCCAGATGACTTTGACGGGTTCGAACACCGTGTATCGATACATCGCGACACAAGGACCGAAGTCGTCGACCGTGAGCGATTTTTGGCAACTGATCCTCGAACAAGGGATCCGTCAGATTGTTATGCTGACAACGCTTCAGGAAGGTGACATGATAAAATGCTTCAAATATTGGCCTGAAGAAGGCACGAAAATGAAGGACCTACTCGGCTCATGGAGCATCCAGCAAGTTGGCATGTCGCAAGAGGACGCCTGGATCCAACGGCAGTTCGAAGTGAAAAACGAGAAAACCGGAGAAGAGCGACACGTCACACATTTACAGTATGTCAAGTGGCCTGACCACGGTGTGCCTCAAGATTCGCAAGATTTCGTCGATTTCGTTCATCTCGTTCGGGAATTCAGAGCTGAAGCGCCGGTGAGTCAGAGCTGGAATTCACGACACCGGCGGTGAAGGATACATTGAGTTCTCCATGATGATCGATGCTCCGGTCTGAAGGGTCTCTCTCTCTTCCAGATTGCACCTGTGGTCGTTCACTGCAGTGCCGGCGTCGGCCGGACGGGCGTATTTATCATGATGGAAACCGCGATGGGTCTCATCGAGGAGGGTCAGGCGGTTCGACCTCAGCAGCTGCTCCAGATCATGAGGGAGCAGAGACCTTCCTTAGTCCAGACGGAGGTGAGTTTGCCGAGGAAGGAACGATTTTTCCCTTCTCTGCCGGTCAGCCGCCAGGCGCTTTTCCGTCGTGAATGACCTGGAGGATGCCGCTCAATTCTACTCTAAATAGAAATTTTCCTTTACCGCAGTCCCAGTTCAATTTTGTTGTCGGAGCTATTCTCCGAGTTTTCATCGAGGGCAGCGTACAACCCTGTTCGTGACTCTAGTCTTCCCCTGAAGGTGTACAATTGATCCAAAGCTTCGAGAAATCTCTCGGTGCAAGACTCAGTGCGAATGTAATGATAGGTGGTATCCCATGGACGAATCTTCTATAAGTGCGTGGATAAGGACTGGTTGAGGATGAACTTGATGTAAATAAACCCATACTGGTTTCTGGGGATTGATGTATTCCTTTGATGACGGAAAAAATCCCGCTCAAACGGCTTACTATTTTTCGACAATCAAATCGCAGGATCGATCCTGCAGCTTTTCCTCAAATCAGATGCCGAGCTAGAACAAACCAAAGGGAGAGACATCTCACGGTGGTCGGCTGGGAGCTCTGGAGACCCTTCAGTGGAGACTCGAAGCCGGAGTTACATCTGGATCTGGGAATCTCAGGCGGACTCCGGGAATCCACATACGTCAGGGATCTCATGATGCGCGGCATCGTTTCGGGCAAGAAAAGAGGCGTATCGAAGCATCAAACTCATTTATAGTCAACGCCTGAACTGCTGTATGTACACTTGACAATCAACGGAGTCGGACTCAGAGTCTATTCTTTTTCTTCTTGTTCCCGGTTCTAACTCGGTTCATGTAGGGATCTCTGTCCAGACCTGGCTTCACAGCACCGATATGACGGACATCGAGCATAGCTGCCCTGCTCTGAACATCCTTGGCCGAGAACGGGCTGTCTTGAGCCGCGTAATCCGGATCTAGGGCATTCAATTTCCTCAGAGCTTTCTTCGGGAGTTTATTCTGCGGCCTGGGCTGATATTCGTTGAGAACCGGATTATTCGAGTGCTTCCCGCCTCTGAACAACGGAATACTGTATCGTAATCCTCTCTGATTTATGGGTTTCTTGAAGTTGATGAACATCTTCATTTCTCCGTTCTCGTCGATCTCGACGGCAACTTTCTTCAGGGTCCCTTTGTTCCCACAGGACTTGCAGAAGATTCTAGTCATTTCAGATGTACGTTGGAAGCAAGCGAAGCAGCGGAGAATGTAAGTCTGCGCCCGGCGGATACACATTCCATCCATAGAGAGACATTTCAACCCCATCTGAATCAAGACGTTCTGCATGGAGAAGTCAGAAGTGATGCACGCCACCAATGGCATATCCTCATCCTGACTCGTTATCCCACCGAAACCCATGGTTCTCTTAATCTGAAAGGAAGCATGAAGCTCTGTGAATGATCCAAAACGGTCCACATTCGATAAATAAAATCTCCTCACGTGAGGAGATTTTACGTACAACGTACATCTTGGATGTTGTCTGTTGTGATCCATCCCTCGTCGTCATGTTCCTCTTCCTCCCCACTGTCCACTTCGGCATCTGAGCTGTTTTCCATTTCTGCACCACTGTCTTCAATATCGACATTCTCAATGCGTTTCAGCAGGCATTCCTCTTCCGCCTCTCTACGAGCATCCTCCGTCTCGGGCACGTCCTCTGAGCGATCTGGGGGCGAAACGATCGATTCGCGGTTATCAAGAGGCTGACCAAGAATACGTCGAATGACAGTTGAGAGGGGACACGGAATCCATTAGCTACCGTATTCTTACCCACGAACTTGTCGAGCTCGCTCCCGTTCGAGACAACAGGCATCCGAACCCCGCCGATGAGCGTGAGCTCGCCACTTCTCTTGGGATTTATCAAGGGAGCGTTCTGTTTAGGTGTAACACTGAGATGGTCGACGTTGCCATGAACTTCTCTTTCGAGGAAATGAGTTAATGCCAGGATAGAGAGATCGGTTGCCGACAGGGACGGATAGTCACCAGTCTTCTTCGAGAAGTCTGTCACAGCCTAGAACAACATGATGAAGTTTCATAAATTCCGAGTGTCCGGCTCGCCGAAGAGGGTCCCAATAGTCGAGTTCACGTCCTCGATCAGCATTGTCATCCTTGCTCAAAACTTTATCACTACAGCCACGCAGCGTGCGGGAACGCCGGAAAACCAGGACTTACACAGAGGCTCTCTGTGGTCGGCGTTCGATCCAAGCGCAACTTGTACGGTAGAACTTGAAGACGTTGTCGCGTCGCTGAGTCCCGGATTTCTTCGACGACATTGGGCAAAGAATAGATGTTCTCACCGATCTCCTGCGGAGTCGGTAAACGGGAGCTGAATTCAAGTAGGGATATCTAGCCCCTCAAATAATATAGCAGTCTCATGAACTCGGTCCTGGAGAAGGGACAGGAAGATTCAGTTGTAGATAGTGAGGTAGGATGATTGCGAGATTCATTTACCTGGAGGTTGACATTCCGGATGAAGGCATTTGCATCCACCACCAAATGTTTTACTTTCGTTCGTCTTTCCGAAGCCATTGTTCCAGCTCAAGATTCAGAACAGCCACCATGTGTGGACGACACCTGCCTCGTGCTCGTACGAGCGCCCAAGAACAGCTGCGAAAGACGGGCGAGCTTGAGCGTTCCCGATTCGAAATCCTACCGAGTGCCGGCCGCGATGTAAACAAAGAACGTCACATCCGTCTTATGTGGAACCCCGAGTGGAACGAATGCAAACTGAAAGCCAGAGACCTTCGTCGACCGGGAAAAGTTTTCGTTCGGAGGCTCCAACTGATCCACAATCATCAGTGAATAGATTCTGGTGAGTTGAGGTCTCAGCGACCTTTTGCAAGGAACTACGACGGAACACAGTTCGAGTCGTCAGTCCGTATGGTGGCGTGTGAGCGTGTTGTGTGAAATCTTCTCTATGCTCTCTTACTTCCAAGAGCCGTTCTGAAACAGCGCGACGATATTCCGGCGTTTTCGAAACACTCTCAGACCACGCAAGACCCTGAAGCACGTCAAACCGCGCTGAGGTTCCGCCTCGCGCATTAGTCAGAATTTTCGGAAGTCTCAGCCGCCGACCAGTAGCACGGATCCGACGGCCGGGAATTTCAGGTTCTCCGATGAGTTTCTGATTTTTCGCGGTGGATTAAAATCGAAATTCTTCTGCAGACAGTTTGAAGATGGTTCTAATCGCGTCCTGGGACGAATTCTCCCGAGCGGCCGAACGACTATACCTGAACAATCCGGACCGATGTCGCTTCATCCTGAAGAATCGTCACAAGGATGGCCGGCTACACGTCAAAATCACAGATGACAGTACGACGTACCAGTACGTGACCGAAATCGCACAAGATGTGAAAAAGATCGAGAATCTGACAAGTCTTCTGCTGAAAGCGATGGTTGCCCAGCCGGAAACTAAATGAGTGCGGACTGTATGGATGTGCAGATTGATTGTGAGGAAGCAACTGATTCCATTGTGTGGCTGCGATATACTATTACGATGAATATATACTTTTTTCTACATTCAATCGTCTTGTCCTTCCCAAGGGTCTCCCGAATGCGCAGATATCGATTCCGAGAAATACGCCCCCGGATACGTCCGAAGGAGCGCTTGAGGAGGACATTGAGCGAGCCCCGAGCTTGAAAAATCGGGCTTTATTGTCGATGCAATCACGAGACCTTTCTTTTCCCGGACGCACAATCATAATTGAACTTGATGAGATTGGCTGTATGCTCTGTTATTTAACGCTCTCAAGAGGGGTCGCAGGGTTTTCCCGGGGCCTACTTCGTACGTCTGCGGATACTCTTCTGTTCGATCCCTTGTGTATATGTGGTGCATGGTCTGCTCCCATTGAACAGGAGAGCAGATATGCTCGAGAAGGGCTTTCCGAATACCATCCCTTGAGCGATGAGCTCGAGCCGAGACGTTTGAGATGACCTGCAATTGGATCGAATCGAGCTTAGGTACCTCGTTCCGAAGCTGAGAACATTCGCGGCTCTGACGGATAACCATCAAAACTCATATGTGTAACTCCCTGGGCCGCCGGCGACATTACCTCAATCGCCGGTTCTCTCACTTCTACCTGCTCCAGAATCTTTTTCAAAACATTCCTCGCAGGTTTCATGAGACTCGTATGGAAAGCTCCCGATACTCGCACACGTTTCGACCTCTTGATACCGCAGGCACGACCATTTCTCTCCAAGAATTCCAGAGCCTGGAAAAATCACGTGAATCAGGGGGTGTTCTCCCGCACATTCCGCCAGAATCTCGAGGGGCGGCACCGGTCAGAAGGAACAGAGAGGGATACTAACTTTCAGGTCCCCACCGATTACTTTGCAATCCGGTGACAGAAAATTTGAGATTTCGCATACAGGCTCCGGTATGCCTTCCTTCTCTATGCACCATTCTCGTGCTAGTTTCATGGAATATCTTATATTCGCATCGGGGCCAGTGAAAACAGTCAGAAGTCCTGATTCTCGCTCCTCGGAAACGGATTGCATCGCTTCGCCGCGAACTTTGACAACCTGAACCGCTGTAAGAATTCGAAATGATTAGAAGGCCTTCCTGGAGTCCTTTTCCCAGTCCTTCGGCGGGAAATCTTGAGAGAACAATCAATGAATTGTCGAGCCGAGCTCCGATCTTCACCTTCTTCGAAGGACAGGGCTCCAGAAAAAACGAGCGCCGAATATTCTCCCACGCTGAAGCCCGCTGTAACCACGCAGCGGTCGACTGCATATGGATTATCGTACTTCAATTTCTCAAGAGCAGCGAGCGACGTTACCAAGACTGCGGCTTGGCAGTTTATCGTCATGTTCAGTTCGTCCCCTGGACCCTCGTTGCACAGTTTCAATAGATCGTAGTTCATCACGCTCGAAGCATACTCGAACATTTCTTTGACGTTCGGCACCCCTCCCAAGTTTTTAGCCATGCCGGCGTATTGAGATCCCTGGGAGGAGAAGGCTGCTTAATCCATGAGCTTGCGTATGAAAACTCGAACGGACAGTAACCGGTCTTGACCGTCCCAAAAAACTCACCTGTCCTGGGAAAAGAATGACTGTGGTACTCAGCGGGCTAATGATATCGCGGTTTCGAACGCTCCGTTCCAATCGTTTTAGAGTGTCGGAGTCCACATTGTACGCATTGGTGAGAAATTGATCGTTTCCGATTCCGGAGTCGGAGTCGAGACTCGTCGTACCATCCAGAAGTTTGCGCGCATCTGGTCGAGTTGTCTTGGCATCACTGCACACGAAAAGCTTGCCGGTGCGCGAAAGACTCCCATACACACTGCTGAGCTTTCTGATCAATCGCATGCCCGAAGCTCTGCACAGGATCACAGCCTGACAATCCTCAAAGGAAGGCTGCCGCTCCGAAGAAACGAGCGGATAACTTCCCTGAGAGGGGTACTCCTGGCAACCGGGGGATTGGAGCGCGTGTTCTCCTCTGCTTCGAATTCTAGATCAGTCAAGCCGAGTGGTGAGCGCCGCTTCCGTTCTTTTACTAAAACTCGGAAGGAGAGCTTGTCCTGAGCCCGCCGCCTGATCGCGCTGCTCTCGCAGACGATGCCGAGCCTGATGGCACACTACGAGCCGCTCTCCGCGGTTTTGTTGTGGGAGAAACACGCGCAGAAGTGCGTCAGCTGACCGAAATACTAGTGGATCACAGGAGCATCTCGCGGAATCTCCAACCGCATCCCGCGGATGACTCTGATCGGTTCCGCAGGATTTCACGCTCCCCTGGAAAGAACACTTCCTCCTGGAGGTCACCAATGACCCTGCAGGTGCGCGGTATAGACAGGGACCTCACGCGCTTCAAAATAGCTCATCGTATTCCGGTCAGCTATCGTTTAACTCTGTCCTTGCGATAAAGCCTCGCTCTGACGAATACCGGAGATGAGTTTCTTCGTTTACTCGTGAATCTTACCGTTCGATGGAGGATTACTGAGCGACCGACTGATTCGTCATCGTTGGTGTTGTGACTTTCTCTCCGCGTGACGTTCTCGCGCGTTCGATGAGCGCATCGCAGACTGTCGGAACGCGTCTGAGTTGATCATGGAGTGGACGAATTTGCTCTCAGCGAATGAGGGCCTGAAGCGGGCGGCTGTCATAGCCGCAGTCGGAGCAGGATCCATTTACGTAGTGTACAACCTGCTCGACACTTACATCACTCGCTCACCAGGAACAGGCCCGGCTGAGGGTCAGCGAGCGGTGCGTTCCTCTCGGCTAAGATCCACTACACCTCTGAAGCAAAACGGGAGCTCGACGAAACACACGAGCCTGCACCAATCGCCAACATGTACGTCGCCGGCGCCGATGTCCGTGAGGGAATCGCTGGAAATCGCACGCAATCTCTCGCAGTCCCCCACTCCCCCCCTTCCTCTAGTGGACGAATGTCTTGATATGTCCCATCCGATTGAGGAGCAAACCGATCAGTTGACCGAGCTTGTCGAAGATCTGAAGTACAACGGAGCTCGTCTCATCGACGGAGACGAAGTCGATTGTCTCGGCTTCCTCCTCACAACCGACGACGAGAGTCTCTTATGCGAGACATTGGGCATCCTGAGTAATTGTGCAGCTTTCACACCAAACCAGGACCAATTCCGTGAGAAAGGGGTCCTGAACCAAGTGAAGAAACTCACTCGACACGAAAACGACGTGATCAAAGTGCAAGCGCTGACAGCGACGTCGAATCTGTGCGTCAACAACGAGAACCAGGCCGAATTTTTCGATGAAATCCCCCATTATCTGAAATTAGCATTCCAGGATGGCACGAGTATGGTCTCATTGGTGGCGTTGTACGTCCTGACAAATCTCACGGTGAAGTTTGGCTCCAATCCAGAAATTCTCAAGCACACGGGATCTCTCGCATCCAAAGCAGTATGTGCCGCCAAAGATGAGTCTCTGCAGGCAATGAAGATACTTGTTAATATTTCTTGTGAAGAAGAAGGGGCGGAACACCTTGTCAAGGCCGATCTACGGGACGATTTCTTCGATTTGATTCGATCCGAACCTCCGATTTCACAGCGCTGTCTGACATTGTTGGCGAATCTAATACCAAAAATCGCGGAAGGTTCTCCCATGGAGAATCGCGTCATCCAGTTGAAAGGAGACATGTTGGACATGTGGCGTCGGGACGATCTGGAAGACGCCCAGAAAGATCAGCTCCGCAGAGCTTTGAAAGCTCTCTCTGTACGGGGCTGGGGACGTCTATCGGAGAGCACGATGGACCTAGTTAACAAACAAGAATGAAGACCGCGGCCTTAATTCACAATCAAAGTAGCATCGGCGAATCGGGATTGTTGTCTAGACTCGATCGCGTACGCAAACGAGGTATCTACTTCGAGAGTAGCGTACTCTCACGCCTCATCCTCGTAGGTACTCTTCACGAAGAGAAACAATAGCCTGAGGACCGGATTCGTAGACGAAGTCCCGAACGAACCTTCGGACGCCAGCTCAGGGTTCATTCGTTAATTGCAATCGACCATATTTGTCTAGTACCTTACTGTGCTGTCACAGAGTCGGAGTGTTGGTTTCTTAAGAGGACTTGAGCCTCGAACGAGGACTGCGACGCGTACTTCTTTGAGAGACGCCGTCGAGACCGACGTGAACTCATATTGAATAAATCAAAATAAAGACCTTGCATGAAAACTCCACGGGCAATTCTTCTGATCGGAGCCGGCGAGCATGAAGGTGCTCCCGCTCCATATTCGTCGCGTCGCGAGACTTTAAGGCACTCTGGGACCGCACAGATGATTTCCAGATGAGGCTCACGACGCGATCTCAGACGGATCGTGGAACCGATCGGCCTATTCCTCCCTGGATTCATCAGCCCTATGCCTCCCGAGCATGAGGCCATCTCGCCAGAGAATTCTTCGTCGAGAGACGCTCGCACGGGGAATCTGGAACAGAATAAGCCACAATCCCTCGAACGGTAGAAGCAGCGGTGCTGTCCCCGGCGCAAGACCCGACGGCGCAGGCTGCGGTCTCGTTCCTGCCGGATCGACCGTGAAGATAGTGGTAGCATCGCCTGCATTTTGGAGTTGACCTTACAGGTTTCCTAGGTCGTCGAATAATTCTATCACTGATAGCGATGGACACGCGCTCCGATAGATTGAGATACGAACGGGAAACAAGAGCAAGGTCGTGCCATTACCTTGACCCTCACATGGTTATAGCGGCAAATCATGTAAAGCACTTCCCGTATAAAAGCTCGGATATCGCTGGGGATTCTTCACTTCTGTCGATAGTTGTTCCGACGATCCGCGCATGATGTTGGTGAGTTTCTGTGTCCGGGACTCGTGCTCGAACGAGGTGAAAGACAATTCTCCGAAGAGGATGCTCTCGAATTCCAGGTCGAACCGCTGTTCTTCATTGGGCTCTTCAGCTACACGAGCGCCAAATCGGGCAACGAGTTCGTCGATGCCATCGTTTCTCATCTTCGAGTGAGTCCGTTCTTGGTGGATTCGTTGAACACGACGAGCTACAAAGGAAGTTTCCAAGTCCAAGATAGCATAAAGATGTCCAATGTAAGTTTGAGCGAGGTTCCCATTGCTTTCTCCGGCCGATACAGCTGAGACGAGCGTCCGGTGAGCCTCGCTGATATTCCTCGTTTTGCCGTTTTCAGATAACGGCAGAGAATCTCCTGAATCTGAAACGAGTCGGGGACGCTACAATCAATGTTGATGCCCTCGGGGAACTGCACCTCAAGACTAGCCTCGCCTTAAACGACATCGTTGTGAGGGCATACTACGATTACCAGAGTTGGCTGAACCTGAACGGGAAAATCGGTCTGAAGCTCCCCAGTCTCACCATGGACATCCACGCAACTGTAAGTCGAAGCTCCTTTCGACTAGAGCGGTCACCGCAAATTCTTCTCAGGGCGTTCCATGATGCCGCTGGGATCGCGTTCAGTCCAGCGACTGTTTCATGACGCCGAATCGTTTTGCAGCTCGGGAATCTGACCAGTATGACTCTGAGGAATTTCCGAGTCCGCGACGTGTCAGCTCCTAAAGTGGTGGATTTCTCTGGTACCTCATCGCTCTTCAACTGGCTCGGAGCCCGTAGAGTTGAGATGTTCATCAATCAATCGACGAAGCTGATCGTGGAGAATATTGAGAGCTTCGTTCATAGTGGCATGACGAGCGTCATGACTAATGAAAGACGCTGTATGCCTTTGAGGAAATACGACTCGGGAGTCGCTTCCGAGCTCGAGTGGATCGACGCGTCGGGGATTTCGGAATTTCGCGATTAGTGGGGGGCTGGGGAAACCCGGGCTTAATCAGCGACGAGGGAAGGGGCAAAAGGGTAGGAATGTTCGTGTTTTGCACTTAAATCTTCGATATCCGGTATCATCATATTTTTACAAAGAATAAAGATATATTTGTATTTACGACCTCTGTTTCCCTGAACAAAAAACTCGTTCATAGCTGGGCGGAATCGCCAGGTCTCAAAATTTGGCTCGACCCTGTACGTCGGAGATTTTGTATACCGTTCTGACAACGTCCGAACCCTGAAATTGAGTTAGCTGGAGAGCTCCTCGAGCATGAACACAGGTCTCCAGACGGAAAGAAATGAGCCTGATCTCCACAATGTAGGTCGGTATCCTCGAGCTTCCCTGGATCTACTACTGCGAGGAGACGGCCACTTGGGAATTACGATGATGATGGCGGTCCGAAGTATGTCATGGACAGTTCCGACCTCTGAGATCAATGAAAATATTTCAGAATCCTACGTGCTAGTCGGTGGAATGCGACACACACGCTGGAGGCCTGAAAATCCCATACCCTAGCAACTGATCGTACTAGGAAGAGGCTCTCTGCATCATCTTGAAGCTCTCGTTCCCGATTGGAGCATACGAACGGAGAGCCGTAGGTTCTCGCTGACGGAGCCGCCACTCGCATGCTGCGGTCCCCGATTGGCATCCTTCCAGGAATTCGTAGAATTGAAAAGGCTAAATTCGTCCTAAAACGCCATCTCTTCTTTTGGTTTTTATTCGTTTCACTGTTTTTCTTCTTTAATGAACAACAACAGAGTGGAGTAATGTGGGTTATGCTGCAATGTCTTCTAAGACAGACCATCAGTTGGGTCTCCCGTTTCGACTTCCAGGTTTCGTTAATAAAAATCTGCACATCCATCGTATCGCCTGGCGTACTAAGCAACCCGGCATTGTCATTATTTCATTAACGATTTCCCCTTTTCCCACACCCCTGCCAACCGATGCCGCCTTGTCGACGGGATAGCCAAGTTCACTCGGTCTCGGCGCTCTCGGAAGCTTCGCGGCATAGATCGAATTTCCAGCATTTGTTATTGCTCCGAGTAGCGGGCAACATTTCGTGGTTCGGAAGAACTCGGCTTGTCCAGGCTACGGGACAAAACGAATCGGAAAAAAATACAAGCGACTTCATATTCTGATATTTGCGGATGTTCATCTACGAGCCTTCTCTCTGTGTGTCTGTGTAGCGGGTGCTTGCATTCAAACGGCAGCGAGATCAATCTATTGCATGTTGACAGCAGATTAAACAGCAGCAAGTCGGGAGGACCGTCCTCAGACATCTCGATGTTGACGGTCGTCGGCAATGTGGAGTCGGAGATCCGTTCCATTATCGGCTCGGAGCCGAAAGGTATCGGGTTTCCGATGACACGATCGCCAGAGTATTTCGCCGAACTCAAAAGTCAACAGTTGTATACACAAAGATGATATAGATAATAATAATAGCATTGATTTTATAATGAATGTTAGCTGCGAGAATGTATACTTGAAAGTTTCTTGCTCGGATTCTTTCCCGTCTAGCAGCTACGGCCTCGGTGCTGAGCGAACTCAAAATGAAACGGTGTTGAATAATCCAGAAATGAAAGTATCGCATTCGCCTCCTGAAGGATTCGTGTCCTACGTCAATGAATCCAGTCCAAGCTGGACAACGAGCTCGATGATTTGCATGTTCTAGAGAACTTGTTCAGGATGTACGAGTTCCGAGAGCGCTTCACGTCGTGATTGGCTTTTTGAGGAGCAATGCTGAAGTTGGCGATGGGGTTCTCAACGATAGCGTCTTCGTGATTCTCGAGTTCGTCGTCAATAATTTCACGGAGCAGATGTTATACAGATGGCTACTGCTAAAGTGGGAGGGTATGGGTCGCTTCGAGTGTCGGAATAGGGTCACCGTACATCTGGATTTCGTACCGGGTCGAATTGGTGTTTGGAAGGATTCACGGCCGTCTTGTGGTGTCTAATTTCACGGGGTCAGAGTCATCGTTGGGCTGAATGATTGTGGTCTCGTATTTTCGTCTTGCTGTCTGTCTCGCCCGCCGGTGGGGACCCGCTGTCCGAATGGTTCACGATTACAGACCCTTTTTTCACGGGAAATACGCTCCGGGAGCCGAAACTCAAATTGAAGATAGCGATTATCTGTCGGTAGTAGTAGTGGTTGTAGTAGTTATAGCAGTAGTAGTACAGCTACGCAGATGAAGTAGAAATATCAGAATCACCAGTATGATTTTAGACAGTTGCGAACCGCCGTGGCAATCGCCGCTCCGAAACCGCTCCGTGGGACCTCAAGCCCGAGAGTGATGGCGTTTCTCTGAAGCTACGTGTCGAAGGAATTGCCCGGCGGCAAATCAGATTACTATTACCTAAATGTTTCCTCGTTTGCTGTCGAACTTGGCAAGGCAAAGGCCAAAGGACCACGTGTTGATTGGATCTGTACAGCTTCAATATTTAAAGAGCGATTTCGTGTACGTTGTGTAGGGTCCGATTCAAAATCGAACCAAAGCCATGCATGAGAGAGGCTTACGCATCGATGCATGCGTCCGACGGGACATTAGTCTATGTATATGTATGACGGGTGGTCGGACCGTCGTCGACAGCTGATCGATGGATGAATCGACGGACCAATCGACCCATTCACCCGTCCGCACGCAAGTTCCTCGTTTTTCGACACGCTTAGCCTCTCGCGAAGCGGGCTTCCGCCCTTCCGGCCAAGGGAAACTGCGAACATTCGCCCTTTGCCGACAGCATCATCATCACCATCATCTTACATCATCATATATATATATACTCATCGCAATGATCCATATATATGTATATATGTATATATAATATTTATATATTTATATAGAAATCTGTACTGTGTTCGTATGTACAAACTATATACATGAACTCCCAACTTATCGCCTCTCGTCGAGCTTTCCGAAACGCGTCTAGTACGGACAAGAGGGACTGGCTCGCGTTCGGTTCGTGGATCTGTTTGTAGCATGCTTGTCGTCTTCTGTGTGTTGTGTTCAGCCAGCTTTCTCCCGGCTGGTCGTCTGACAAATCAGAGTTGCTTCTCAGAATAATAATAATATTAATAATATTATTAATAATGTCGGGTATATGCTAGGATAATACGCTCTACGACTACCCGCTCTGTTTGCCTCTCGGCTTTGACAATGTTCTGACAAGATGAGGGGAAGTTTTTGGGAGCGAAGTATCATTCACCGGATCATGATGAGCTCATCCCCTCTCGTCGTCATCGTCGTCGTCGACTATATATGTACAAAAACACATCAGTTGTCGCCTGCGGAGAAACCGAGGTGAATCCATGGCCAAGCAGACAGTAGTGACACTGACCACAAACTCTGCAATCTCGTCGCAATGTACACCGTATTTACACTGTTCATGATCTTACGCATGTTTGTTTGCTTGTCCGCGATATCGTCTGCAGTTGGAGGTGTCTATTGCCTGTGGCAGCCTTGCGTCGAGAATTCGTCCACCTCGAAATCGGATGTCATCATCGACGGATAAATTCCATTTCTAGTCAATGAAAGTCTTCTCTTCCCCCGGTGTGAACATGGGGTCTTCCGGGTGTTCTTGACCCTCAAGGACACAGCAAAGAATCCGAGGGGGTGGATGGATGCAATACTGAAGCCACGTTCGGAACCTCTCGAGGACGCTTGCATTAGCTCAGGTGATGTCACCTACTTTGACAGTCCGTGGCGTCGTTGATCCACAACCGATGACTTTTCACAAGTTGACGGCGCGGCGTTAGAGCGGCACGACTCGGGGACGGTCTGCCTCGAATGATGGTCTACGTAGAAGCTACAGACGCTGTCCGCTCAATAGAAACCCGGCTTGTAACCTGCTCCGGAGCCGCCGTTGTTGGCCCTCGGACGCGGCGGGCCCACGTTCGAGGCTTTACCGTGGTGTGGTCCGTTGCCCATATAAGCCCGTTGGCTCCCCACAACAGCAATCGCTGATGGACCTACGGTGCCGAGGGAGCCTAGCGCGGATTTACCGCCACGCTGAGTCACGACGCTATTTGAGGCTTGGGGCACGTAGAAAACCTGCTGAGGTCCGTTGGGGGTCTGCACCGTTGCCGTTGGAAAACTTCCAGAAGGATAAGCCGTCGGAACTGCGATTGACGCCGACGCAGACGGATTCGACAGATCGCTCGAGTCATTTGCACAGAGGCCAAACTCGCGTCGCAACCTCTGACTGAGTGGTTCACGGCGGCTTTGAGGTGAGTCCAGCAGAGAGGATTCAATGTCTCGTTCCCTCTCGGGAGTGTCCGGGAACAGCGCCGACTTGAGCAGCGTTGACGAACCGCTCGGTCCGCCGAGAAGGTTAGACGTCGTCAACAGCTGCATCGGGGGCGCCGTTACAGCGGCAGGTAGACCTGAAAGGAAGAATGGCCTGCCGTGAGATTTTCGGCTCGGATATTTTCCCGATCGCTTCTATCCCGGATCGATTGAAAGTACACGATGGTATCAATAATTTCGCGACTCGTTCCCCGGACTTCTCATCTCCAGAGATTTCGTGACTCACTCGATATGATAGAGGACGGCAGGTGCATCGTCGGATTTGAGGGCTCCGAGCTACTTTTGCTCCGGTTCAGCGAAATTATCGACGAAGGGGTCGTTTTGTTATTTTGCGAAGAAGCCGTAAGTTTCGAGAGATTCCCGAGCAGCTCATCCGACAGAGGAGCCAACTTCATTCCCAAACCTAACTTCGGTCGACCGATCGTGTTGTTGTTATCGTTGTTGCTTTTGCTGCTGCTGTCGTTGTAGTTGTACGTCGCGTTCGGAGTGGACGCAGCGATTGCCGATTGTACCGATCCCGGAGCGGGTTCGCTTCGTTGCCGTTTCAAATACTCCGACAAACTAACTTTCTTCTTGCGGTCTTTCGGTGGTTCGCTCTCGGTGGACTGCTGCGAGAGCCGCCTAAGAGGCTCGATCGGCGGCAGCCGCGTGAGAACATCTCCACAATTCGTTGCTGATGTCCCCTTGGCTTCCGGCGCCGAAGGTTGCGCGTTGTCCACTTCATCGAGCGTCGGTGTCGTTGAGCCTTCCACCGCCACATCGTCGTCATCGTCGTCGTCTTCCATCGATTCCTTCGAAACCTCTACTTTACCTCCAGACACTTCTGCAAAGTCAAGTCGAACACTGTGTTAGGATCGGCGGGATGGAACGATTGTTCCCGCATCACGATCAACTGGTTGTCCCCGATAGAAGGGGAGAATTGATGTCGTTGAAGTTTCGCATCGACCGACTGAGATGGAATTCTTTTATAGGTAATACGAACCAGGAGCAGGGGGTGTCGAAATCCTGCATTTATCCTCGTCGGTCAGAATCTCGTTCTCCGCGAGTGGTGGTGAGGCTGTCGTTGTTGTTGATGTCGCTGCTGCTGCTGCGGCCACTGTTGCGGTTTCCGAGCCAGTCGCGAGTGCCGCTTCTTGAACAATGTGCGATGTGCAGTTCTGCCGTTCGTCCTCTGTCTCGGTCGTCTTGACAGATTCGCCTGGCGAATCGGTGCTTTCTCTCGGCTTCTGGTGCACGACCTCAACAGGTTCGTCTACAGAGCTCCTGTCCTGTCTAAGTTCTCGGAAACGATCCTTGCGGTCTTTGCGATGTTTTTCTTTCTTGTCTCTGCTCGATCGATCTTTCTCCTTGAGCTGATGGCGAGCAGGAGCTCCTTTCAAGAAGAGCGCCCTCGCAAAGGGGTCAGTCTCGTCGCACAGAATGTCCTCCGAAGGAGAAACGTGATCGTTTTTCTCCTTCTGTTTCCTGTTCGACTCCTTCAGCGAGTTCGTGGACCTGCTGCTGGCGGCCTCTTTTTCGTCCTTGGGCAATTTCACATCCTTGCTCGTGTGTTTGTTCGACGAGCACTTCTCTTTCGAAGATTTGCTGCTTGACGAGTCACTCCTCGAAACCTTTGCGGCTGCTTTTACTTCGTCTTTGAGAGTCCTCGGGTCTTTAGGGTTCCTGTTCCGGCCACCGCCGCTGCTGCTGCCACTGGAACTGCTGCTGCTGGCGCTGTCCTCTCTCTGAGGTTTGGCTTCTCCAGCTGCTGAGTTCTTCTCCGCCTTGAGTTGAGGCGCGACATCTTTCAGCTGATCGCCTTCGGACTTTTCATGAGCGACATCGGTCTCCTTGTTTTTCCCTTTCGAGCTCCTCGGCTCCTTGGACTCTTCCTCCATCGCCTCGGGGCTCGCCTCTCCGGTGGTGGTCGCAGCCGGGTTGGGATTCTCTTGTCGTTGCTGTGCGGAACTTCTCTCCTCGGACTCCGAATCGGAAACCGCTGACGACCGTCTCTTGCTACCGACCTCTTTTGATGATTTCCGGGATTTGGTCTCTTTCACGAGCGAGTTCCTCCCAGAGGATTTCTCTGCGGTCTTCGGCCCTTCGGCCGTGACCGGCGCGTCGGTCGAGTCGTCCCCTTGCGTCACAGGGGTCGAAGAGGCTGAGCTCTCCACGGGTTTCTCGAGCTCGACACTTTCGCTCTCGGTCGCCGACTCCACGGACGTAGACTGGCCCAGAACGGCGTTCGGAGCGTCCTGGTTGTCCGCATCGAGCGTTTTGTCCGTCGTTCGTGACATTGACACGTCCATATCATCATCATCATCATCGACATCACAGTCGTTTTGTCCGTCTCGGGGTTCTTCAGACGCCGCCGTCGTTGCCGCAAAGTCGTCCTTTTCGTTGACGTGAACCACATCGACAAGCGGTTCCTTGCCGCCGCCGCTGCTCCCGCCGTCATCGTCGTCGTGATGATCGTCGAGATGGGGCGAGTCGGTCAGCGGACTCGGGCTGTCGATCGACTCTCTCATTAGACGTCGTTTCTTCAACGGGGTCACCAGATCGGCACCGTGCGTTGTGTTGTCGTCGTCGGTGGCACTGTGCACGTCGGTGTTGGCGCTCGAGCCCAGTTGCCCACTGTGGTTGACGCTGCCGGTGTTCGAGGGGGAATGGGCTTCGGGCGTGCTGTCGCCGTCGTCACACATAGCTTGACGCAGCCAGCGTTTCTTCGCCGAACCTGCTCCAGACGCGCAGTTGCTGGTCGCGCCTTGCTGGGCACCGGTGACCGCCGCCGTCGTGGACAGCGAGTTCGATCGCCGTAGATGGGCCATCGCGTTGCCGACGCTGTGGCTGTCTCGGACAAAACACACGGACTCTTCCTCTTCCTTGAGACCGCTGCTGGGCGGATGCGAGGGCGAATCGCCGCCAGAGAGATCCGAAGCCCCGTTGTGCTTCTCCTGCAGCCAGCCCTGCATCAACAAGCGCTTTGACTTGGCTGGCTGAGCGAAGCAATCATTGGAGTTCTGATGATGACTGACCTCCGAACAGCCGCTTATAGTTCGGGCCCTGCCTCGTTTCATTGGAGTGTTCGATGCGCTTTTGCGGCGGCCCTTCTTGCCGCTCGAGGCCAGACCGCTGCTCGACGACGACGGCCTCTCGTCCGATGAGCCGTCGTTGTTGGCGACACTGAAACGCCGTTTATCCGCCGTTTCCTTGCCGGGCGTATGCCGATGTTCGGCGGCCATCTGCTTCCGTTTCTGCTTCTGCTCCATTTTCTCGAACGCCCTCATGATCGCGTCGAGTTTGCGCTCCTCGCGAGTCATCTTACGCTCGGACCCTTTGTCCTCTCGGACCTTCTCCGCCGATTCGCCCTGCTGCTGGTGGTGACTAGTGGTGACGTGTATTCCGTCTTGACTCTCGGCCAATTCGGTTTTGATGTCGAGCTCATCGGAAAGCTCCTGTTTCACGTTCACATCCGCCATCGAGGACGTTCTGCGTTTCCTGACCGCGGCACATTTGACCGGCGGCGACGACGACGGGACAGCGTTCGTCGACGGGGACGACGTCGCGGAATCCGCCGGCGGGGCTATCGACGACACGGCCTCGTCGACTTCGATCATGTCGTCGGGATCTTCTTTCTCGGTTTTGATTTTTGTCGCAAACATCGCGATCGCGCCCACCGATGTCGGTGAGCCTACGGCGCGTGCGATCGCTGCTGTCGGCGCCGCGGTTGCCGCTACCGATGCAACGGCGGCCGCTCCACCTGCCGCCGGTGGGCAAGCCGCTGCTGACGCCGACGGCGTAGGAGCGGACGCCGGAGCGGCGGCGGTGACGGCAGCAGTAGCTGCAGCAATCGTTGTTGTTCCTCCTCCAGGCTCCGACGACGTGAGCGGGGACGACGCCGGAGGGCTCACCAACGTCGCAGAGTTTGAGCTGAAAGTCGGAGAATGGAGCGACTCCTTCGAGTCCTTCGCGCATGGCGGCAAAAGCGTTGATGGCGCGGAGCTCTTGTGAGTTATCGGGGTGATCGGTGACGATGCAACAGAATGATTCGTGGGAGGCGATAACGAACGGAGATTTGACAACGATTTTCGTTCAATTAATGAAAGTTTCTTGGGACGACTTGGGGTTCGAGGTTGTTGTTGTTGCTGCTGCTGCTGCTGCGCGTGATGCAGTTGTTGCGATTGTTGATGATGATTTTGCGGGGGGAGCTTGCCCCGACAATTGGACGCTCGATATTTACAATTCGATGTCCGACCGCAGGCGCAATCCAAGCCCGAGGCCGGCGGCAGCTCGAAGGCGATCGTGATCTCTTCCTCGTGCCGAACACCTCGAGGACCCGCCACGATCCACAATTGTAGAAGTCCGTTCTGGACCACGTGACGCAATTCCGAGTTAGGATGACAGGATCTTCGCACCGCCCGCGCTTCGTTACCGTAACGTCGGGAGTCAACGCATAGCGTCTCTTCGAAGTCGTCGTCTTCCTCGTCGTCTGATGAATCCGTGCGTTCGCGATCCGAGCTCGCCGTCAGGAGTTTGCCCGTCGGCGAGTAGAAGAGCACATGGTGTTGACTGGTTTTACGGTTCCCACTGAACTGGTCCATGATCATGAATCGACCCCGGATCTCGGCGATGGGGAAGCCCGGCTCGAAATGGGATGTGGCGACAAGACCTTTCGTGTCACCGAGGCTTACTTCACACAACCTGCAGGGCAAATTGAAATTTTAGTTCGGACTTCCACCGAAATAATGGAAATGATAATTATTCGGAAAACACCGGTCGCATCGAGCCCGTCGACGGAGGACGGGAGCGTGGGAGCTCTGAAGACGTGTCGTTGCCAAAAGTATACGGAGGGGGAGCTCACCGATAGGACTTGGTCGAATGCAAAGCCATTATTCTCTTGAGCAGCACTTCTTGTGCGGCCGAGTTCCCTCGCAGAGTGAGGATCTGAACCTCCGGTGTGTACTGATTGATAATTGACTCTTCGTACAGCTCGTCGTCGTCGTCATCGTCATCGTCGTCGTCTTCCAGCATATCCTCTGCGTCGGCGACATCGATCTCGCTTTTGATTGGTGCTGAGCTCCGGAGATGGTTTGTTCGGCTGTATGCTCCCGATTGGGTTTTCTTGCCACTACGAAGTTTGGCGAGCGCGTCTTGAGCCAGGAGTTTCCGTTTCGCGGACAGTTTCCCATTTTTCAGAGCAGGTCGCTTGCCTGGCGTTGTCGAGGGAGATCCGGAGATCGCCGACGTCGACTGAGAACTCAACGGGGATTTCATGCCACGCTGAGCCTTATTCTCCTTCATTTTACCCTTGACCGTGCTTCGATTCCTGAAATTCTTCAGTATCTGCTTCTGTTTGTTCTTGAGGAAGCGTCGGTTGAAATGTTTTTTGGCGAGACCGTTCGAGATACCCATTTCGGAAACCCCTACGTCGACGAAACCGTTCAGTCTGAAACGATGATGAAGAATTAGAAGAGCTCAATGAGCCGAACCGGTTTCGCTCGACAATTCAATGACATGTTATTATTATCGATATCGATGTTATCGAATCTGTGGAAGAAGAATGGATCTTGTGATCGTCGCCCCGCCACGATCCGGATGATAATGAACAGAATTCTCCGGGGCTGGAAATATCCCCGACTCACCCGTGATCTTCGGACTTCTTCATATGGACCGAGCCGGGCTCAGAGGCGCCGCCGCCAGCGGAGTTCCGGAGCGGAGAGAGTTTGTCTTTCTTCCGCATTTGGAGAGACTTAGCTCGGGTCTTGTCCACCCGACGCGGCTTGCACTTTTCACAGAAGTACGAATCCGGAATGTTGTTCTTATCCAGTCCCATGCATTCGACGTGCTGCCAAACGCCGCAGCCATCACAGCAGATCATGTACTCGTCGTCGTGGTTGAAGCCACTGAAACAGATTCGGGAGGTTTAGCCCGGTGTCAACCCAAAGCGATACGATAATGTGGTAAGGCGATTCGCTTCTGGATCTAAGGAGAAGGAAAAAAACGTTCCGAAAACTCACCAAACGCATCGAGTGATGCTCTCGTCGCCTTCGGACCAGTTATCGCTGCGCTTGGAGAAGGCATCGTCGAAGGCTCGGCCTTTTTCCGTCGACTGCTCAGCGTTGTGGACGTTATTCTCTTTCCGACGGCGTTTCTTCTGCTGTCGCAAAAGACCCTTCTCCTCTCTCGTGAGACCGGAGTTGAAGTTATGATGTAGACCGGGTCGCTCCGGAGAGCTGTGGAGGTGTCCGAGCCCCGACGGACCGCCATGGGCAACGACGGTATTGTTTTTCATATGATGTTGTACGTTAGGATGAAACTGATGATGGAGAAGATGGTTCGTTGACGTAGACGTTTGATAGTGTGTTGAGGGGGGCAGGGTCGTTGTCATCGTTGGGGGTCGACCCGCCGCTCGATTATTATTCGTGTTCGGGTGATGAGTTGCACTTGAATGGGCTTGATGATGATGATGATGGTTATGATGTTGGATCTGGACTGTCTGAGTTACGTGGTTCGCACTCGCATGCTGGTGAGGAGGTGCCGCGCGCACTTCCTCGAAAGGAAGATACGACGGCGGCGGGGAAGCCGGTGGTGTCGGCGGCGGAGGGGCGCCATAATTGTGATCTTGGTAAGGTAATCCGATGTGAACCTTCCGAGGAGCGGGATTCGACGCCACGACCGGCTGGTGGTTTGCCGGCTGCGTTTGATACGTGTAGAAGGTTTCCATCGAATTTCTCTGATTGGGAGGTTGATTCGCGGCACCGGCCAACAACGCCAGTCCGCTCAAACCCGAGGATGCTTGCGCAGATGTCGCGTCGACCGTGACGCTCTTCGTCGGCGTGTTATGTTGCCCAGCTGCCTGGGTTTGGTGTTGCATCGTGTTGTGACAGTAGAGTAAGAGGGCGGCCGCGGCCTCCTCGTCGTCCGTCGGGCCCTTCGGAGACGACTGGACTCTCTGCTGTCGCTGAAGCACCGTGTGGTGTCCACCGGTGTTTCTCCTCCTGTTGACGATGTTGCTGCTGCTGCTGATATTGTTGCTAACAGCGCGGTGGCTGTTAGTCTGACGCAAGTGGTCATGGTGTTGGCCGAGGATGGCGACGCGCTCGATGTCCGGCTCACCGTCTGAGTCGGGCAACGGCTCCTTCGAAGACGACGACAGGGTTTCTTCCGTGTCGTCGCTATGATGTCCAGCGTCATCGTCGGCGTTCGGATATCTATTGTTGTTGTTGACGTTGCTCGACTGCCTCCTCCGGTCCCTTCCCAGACGACGGAACTCCTCTTCCTCCTCGTGTGGTAACAGAGGCGGAGGTGGTAAATTCGAGAAACTTGTCATAGCAATCTGTATAACAGGGGTGATAGCTTGGTCACCCCAATCAGTAATCGGTTGTTCGCACGAACTTGGCTCCTTTCGTGGTGGGCATCAACAACATAGGCACAGCATGGAGAAAGATACATCTTAATCCACGATTCCTGTAAAGAAACAAAGGATCAGCTCATTGGACGTCATCCCGGTAGATCAGGCTGTCGAGAGGGCTGGGGGGAGACGCATGGACTTCAAGAAATACGATGAACGACAGGCGAGGAGCGTCACACTCGACTCGACTAACAGGAGGGCTTCGGCTTCCAGCTCGCGATTCGACTCCGGTTCGACACTCGACACCCCCGGTCTAGAGCCAGACCGCGGACACCGAGTATGACAGGATTCTACATCGAGGATCGGAAGAACTCGCCAGAAAAACGTGTACTCCACAGCTCGGTGAAATTGATAATAATCGATTCTGTCTCCGTAAACGACATCTACTCAATAATCTCGCCCCTTGCGTACCCCCGATCCATGGCGTTGCGAATGGTCGAAAACCGCGATACCTAGTACTGACTCCGTCGACCCCCGTCGACCTCTCCCGATTCACGGCAGACGTCGATCCCATCGAATCGAATGGGAAACGGAAGAGAGTCGAGCAGGCGTGTCGCAAGCGACTGAGTAATTCTTGAATGGAGCATGGAGTATCTGCTGCCGTAGCCGCGCGAGCGTTTGAGCGAGGAGAAATGCAGCGATGAAGGAAGAGAGTATTTTCCTTACTCTTGTCCAAGGTTGATGTCTATACACACTTGGAAATAAGCCAATGAATTTTCTCGACAGCCGACTTCTTTGGTTTCGCAATGCTCCCCTTGGCTGGATCCGACTTTGTCAGAGTTTCATGATGTGCGAGAATCGAGTCTCGCTCACGAGGGAGAAATACTGTCCTTGAGTGTTCCTCAGGGATCCAATCGCGGCTCGGTCGAGCCCACCGCTCAGCGCAACTCCGACTCCGCTCTCGCTCGCCCTCGAAAGACATATCGCGAATAAAAGCAATTAGCGAAAAAATCCGCATCCGACACTCGGTTACGATTTTTTATGATCCGTAACCCAGTGGCCCACAAATCCAGTGCAGTGTTAGTAAGAGCGGCGGAACCGGTCGCACACCGAGCCGCTTCAATCGAAAGGTTGTTGAACTACTCTCTCGTTCCCAATCGTTTCGCGAACAACAAAGAACTCCTTCCGGCGTCGCTGATGATGAGGCAGCAGCAAGAGCCGCAGCAAGTACTCGTCGTCGTCTCCTGCTTGTCGCTCTCTCCCTGAGATTGCTGAACGAGTTGGAAGTGAGCGACCGAACGCCCGCCCGCCTGTGTGCAGTCCCGGCAAGCTTGCCGCGAGAGCAGCCAGTGATCGCCAACGATGGCTTTCTCTTTTGGCGCTGCTACCATCACGACTAAGCGGCAGCGCCGGTCGACCCGCCCGCCGGCCGAGCTTGCTGGCCACGGCTTCGACTCAAAATTCGAGCGACACAACTGCATCACGCGCATAGCGCTTAACTCGTAGTCAGCGAGCGATCCGTGCCGCCGCCGTCGGAACCCACACCGGTGGTGACTCACACTCCGGCGCCGCCTATCGAGCAAGACTCGAAACTTTTCTGTTGCGCCCTCGACTGAAGACAACAGACTGTGAGAGGGAGAAAGCCAGCCGACTGGGCAGGTGACAGCAAAGCGGCAGCCGCAATCGGAGAAGCTTCGAGACAACTCGACCGGGCATGTTCCCGCGCGCTGATGATCAGAGAGGAGGGATTCAATCAATTTATTCCCCTTGATCACCGAAGGAAATTTTCACGAGTCTCGAGGGAAGAAGATGCGCCGCTCATCGAGGACACCATGCATGCATGAGGGGTTCCTCCCCCGTCGAATCGCTGCCTCCATCAATCGATCGTTCAAGCGAACGAGCCAGCTCGGCCAGTCAGTCAGTCGGACGAGCGATCGATCGATCAATCAACTCCGGCAAGTGAAGGCCGGTGTCCTGAATGAAAGATTAGTTCCGAAATTTCCCACTTCAATTAGGCTTTTCAACAGCCTGTTCACAAATCCAGCCCTAATGAGACACTTCGGTAACGACGCGACTGTCTCAATGTCCCTTCCAACTGCTGGTCCGTATCTCTGACTGACTGAGAGTCTCCACGCGCGCTTGGTCTCCCATTACATTGTAGCGGGGCGACTATCCGAAGCTGCGCGCGCAACTGACTGCAATCGGTGGCAGCAGTGTCGACTCTTCGCATTCGGTCGCGCGCACTTCATGCCCCTTGGCTCAATGAGCTCCGATCAGTCTCACTCATCAGAGATTTCGTGATCTCCAGCTCTGGAATCTTCACGTGGATGATGAGTACTCTGCATATCTCTCGTTCTCGGGATCCCTCGAGACATTTCCCGGGTGTTCCTTGAAATACCCTCGCCAGAACTGGATTCCATCCTCGCAAAAGGGGCGGAACTCCCCTGGAGCAACATTCTAAGAACAACTTCCCCTCATCGGCATTCTGTGAGCTGAACGAATACCAGAGTCGGGGCTCGTCATTCTCGCTAGCGAGCGCTCGCCTTGCATCATTGTTCTCTCGTTCACGTTTCGAAGTCCTCTCGAACCCGTCTCCGGGTTTCGAACGATACAGTTGATCGTGAGAGGCACGGTACCCGGAGCAAAGATCGCCAGTGGTCGGTGCGGAACCAGAAGAAAATAGAGAATGAAACGATTCTCTCTGGGTCTTGAAAAGAGCTAAAATGAACCTAACAAGAGGCTCTGACGGAATAGATCTACTATAGGTCGCTCTCAAGCCCGCGGACAGTCGGAACGAGTCCTCGGAAGAAGCCGCATCGTCAAAACGTTCTGGCCTCTGTGGCGAGTCGCCATTTCGAAAATTTTCGTCGCGCGAAGCAGAACGGGGTGGGGGCGGGAACGGAATGGAGGAAAATTCGCCAGCTCATCCAGAGAAAGAACTCTGCACAACCGATTCGTCTAATGACTGAGACCAGTGATAGGATTGTATATCGTCGTATCCGTACATGGGAGCTTCATCTTCACAACGATGAAAGTCAGAAGAGGAAAGTGAAAGAGCGAGCGCCAGTGCCTCACCGGCAGCTCCAAACCGGTCGCGTAACCATGAGTTCGTTAGAAGAATATTTCGGAGTAGGTCTGTATCCGTGACGGTTAATAACTCACTATCCGTAGTTTTACTATTCGGATTGTCGCTCTCGCGCTGATGTCCGACGCTCTCCGACGGGCGGACCGGACGCTCAGACTCCGATCGGGCAGCGGGTGTTGGTGAGGAAAAACCTCCATGATCGATACATGGTCTATAGACGCCGATCCTTTTTCCCCCCAGAGATCGAAACACGATAACGTCACATTGAAATAATGTTAGGCGGCGCTCTAGCCACGCGATCTCTCGCTAGCTCGCTCCCAAATCCGTCTGTTCACGCGTTCGTCTCGACGTATCGCCTATCTGTCTATCTGTTCATCTGTCTGGCTGTCTTTCTGCTCGCTTCATATTCGACTCTTAGGCGGCAGCGCTCGCTAGCTCATGATGCAGATCATGATGATCATCGTGATGATGACTTTCAACAGAAACATCGAAATAGTGAAATGACTGTAGCACCCATCGAGTCGTCGCGAACAAGAGTCGAGCCGCGAGCGAGCGAGAGTTTTTCGCTTGTCGCAGAAACGAAACAACAGCTAGCTTGATCGTCCGCTTGCTGCCA